AGCACGGCGGCAATCCTTGTTCGCATTTTCAACCGCCATTTTTAACAGAATCTCCTGAACTGCCGCAGGGTTATCCACCTGTCGGAGGATAGCCTCCTGCAATCTGTTGGTAAAATCCATAAAGGACTCTGATGCACCCTGACAGATACTGGCAAAGCTTTTGGTAGGCTTGCCTGAATCCGGGACCTTCCGGAAAGCATGCTGGGCGCAGGCAGAAATAATGGGGAAGACGGCCTGAGGGAGTTGAGACTGCATCTGAACGGTAGCAAACGGGCCCTCCCCTGCCAAGTGCTCATAAATGACACCTTGCTCTCTATATACCTGGGCTTGGCGTTCCGCCATCTGCCAATACTCACTAAGCCAAATAACATACTGACTAGGCGTCAGCATCATGCGCAACAGCGCCTTCCAATCTTCAGGGACCAGGGTGTACCCAGTACCTAGCCCTTCAAGGAGACCACGTACATACGTGCTAGTCAGGCCGAACTCACAAATCGCTTTCTTTACCTCTCTGATCAAAAAGTAAGGCAAACTGACCCAGTTTGCAAGCTGGTTGCCCTGGCCATCATCCTGCCAGGTCATCGGGCAAACTGAGACCAGATCAGCTAATTCCTCTGCTGTAAGATCTGGGCGAGTCTTCGCTGTGTGAACCATTTGTTGCACCAGCGAAAGCCCCTGAGCAGATGCTGACAACCCCCCGAGGGGGCCCCGGAGCATGGGGCCCCACGAGGGGATGGTGATCACACACCAGCTCCGGTGGGGAAGACAGGGGAGGCGGTGGTAATTGAGGCGCTGGGGGCGAAGCAGGGGGTGGGATGGCTGCAGGAGCGGACGGGGGTGGCGAGATCGGCAGCCCCTCTATTGGTGCGGGAGAGGGCCTTTCCAAGGCGGCACGCTGTATCGCGTCGTGGCAGAGGTGCCAGGCATGTAGAGCCTGCACGGGCGCCCGAGGCTCTTTGTGCATACTTGCCGGGCGAGGTGAGTGCTGAGGGCCCCACATTTGGGAGCCAGTTGTTGCGGTGCAAATACAAGACGGCAAGGCTTTAAGCAAGCAAGCAGGCTGGTCTGCTGACGGGCTGGTCCGCCTGTCAGCTTTTCACCCTCTCTTTTATTTCTCTCTCTCCCCCTGCGCATTACATACTCCAACAGATAAAAGGAATACACTGGCTTTGTATAATATTCTTATTTACCAATTTCTATCTACTGCATTCCTTGCTCTCAGGCCTTGAGCCCAGTCCTAGGAGGCTTCCCACGGTTCATGTCATCTGGGCGAGATTCCAAGGTTCATGCCCTTGAGAGGAGCCGTGTGCGCACTGCTCCTACACAACACTCCGGGTGTGCCCTGAATGTTGCCAAGTGCATGAACCCTGCATGAATGCTACAGTGGGCCTTTTCCTGTCTACCTGGTCAGTGCATCTGAGTCAAAAGCGCTATCCAGAGCGGTCACAATTGAGCACTCTGGGATAGCTCCCAGAGGCCAATACCGTCGAATTGCGACCACACTACCCCAAATTCGACCCAGCAAGGTCAATTTTAGCGCTAATCCCCTCATCGGGGGAGGAGTACAGAAATCAATTTAAGAGCCCTTTAAGTCCAAGTAAATGGCTTCGTTGTGTAGACGGGTGCAGGGTTAAATCGATCTAACGCTGTTAAATTCAACCTAAACTCGTAGTGTAGACCAGGGCTGAGACACATAGCTATACCAATGTAAGTTCCTAGTGTAGACCAGCCCTAAATACTACTAAGAAAGCTAAGGACTAAAGTGTTCGAACTGGGAGCTGAAAGTTGGGAGCCTTATGTCCATATTTGGGTTCCTAAATAAAAGTGGGCTGCTTTTCAGATTGCCAAGTGCTTACCCCTTCTACTGAAATCACTGAAAGCTTCAAGTGCTCACCATCTTTCTTGACAGGTCTTTAGTATGGGTTGTGTACTGCCAAGGGTCTCCCATGGCAGGGGTTACAAAACAGGAGCACAGCCTAGGAATAAGACGATCATTGGGAGAATGGGGTTGTATTACTGAAGGTTTTTAATGGCACAAGTACACGGCAGCTGCAGACAATGACCAAGATACCAGCATTTTACAATATCTAGATTGGGGGGAGGGGGAGAGGGGGTGGAGAGGGAAGAGAAGGAATGAACTGGTGAAACTGCGCCATTTCTAGAATGGCAGAAGCCAGCCAGAATTGTACAAGGGAAGCTTCCACAAGCACATTTCTGTAACTTTTTATCTTGCTTGTGCAGGCTGGAAATGTTGGTATCACCAGATTGTATTTCAATCAAAAAGCATGGGAGCAATTCACATTGGAACAAGTAATTAAATTGCTGAGAGTGGCATCATGGAAGCATGGTGCCCCCATTCTCTCCCAAGTATCTATATGCCAACTGAATTACAGATTGCTTTCCCCCATCTCGCCAAAAGCAGGAGAGTGAGCCTGTTTCCATCCTGCACCATAACTGGCAAAAAAAAAAAAAAAAAAGAGTGGGGGGCCTATTTTGGAAGAGGGCTGCTTCAACACACGCTGATCTTATTCAAACACTGTCTATCTTTAATGCACAGTTCTAGTCCCAGCTCAGCCTGTGGTTTTGTTCAGAAAACTACAGAGAGCATTTATCAAGCTAGCTGACTCCCTAAAGCTGAGGGGCTTCTGGAAAGCTGGGGTGGCATTAGGTAAAGAAAGGGCAGAGCAGATTACTTAGCGCCACTTAGCAAGTCTAGAACTCACAACCCTCACTCTAACACTCCCTGGAAGTAATGTTGCAGGATATCCCCTCCTTATTTGCATATCACCCTTGGTCCAGGTCAGGGTTCTCCATTCAGACATTGTGTAGAGAAGGAAGGGGACGAATTTAAATTGTGTCTGGAAATAACCACTTGGGTAGCTTTTAGAGGCCATATGATCAACAGTATCAAATCTGTAGACTCTCACTGTACTATAAGAGAGGATACAAGGGAACATTTCCAATAAGTTTCAGCTAATACAAGGTAGGTCTTTTTCATAGCACTGATAGGGTCTTAGAATTAATCTATGTGGTGCTTTGTTTTGCAACTGCTTCAGTTACTGCTACTTGGTTTGAACAGAGGTAAGCACATTTGAAAATGTGCTTAAGTCCCATTTTCATCAGCAACATGGGCACTTAAAAGTACAACCACGGAGAGTTTTTAGACCAGGGCCCACATAACACAGAAGCATTAACTCCCTATCCCAAACCAGGAATCTTTGAAATCTTCACAAGAAATGAACAAGAAATGAAACCCTTAAGATGCTAGAATGGATACTGTGCATTAGACTAGAATGTACTGTGTTTAAAGGGAAAAGAAGGAGTCTAAACACTGCAATTTCACTTGGAAAACTTCACAATACAAACAACCTTATTTTGTCCCTTCACCCTTCTTTCCTCCTTTGATCCTTCATTTTCCCCCTTCCTACCCATCAAATAAATTTGTTACTGTTAGATTTTCATTCCCTGCATTTTGTTGGCTTACGGCACAAACTGTTTGATTCACAAGGGAACTTTTGTGTTTAACTGACTCTTTGGGCGCCTAATGCCAATGTTTAAGCACCACTGACATTCACAAAAACACTGCTCAGCTGCTGCCTATCCCCGTAGGTGTCTATTCCCATAATCAAGCAGGTTTCCACTGTGGGCATATGCAAAGCCCCCTAACACCTGATGCTGCTAACAAGCTGCTCAGAGCCCTACCTCATGCCTAAGACCCAGTGGGGATTCTCAAATGTGGCATTCCCTTATCTATCTCACCTGCAAGACCCAAAGTGATAAAGCATGCCTAACCTGCACAGAAGACAGCCAGGGAGGCGGTGAACAGGTCAAAATTTTAGGGGTGGGCTGGCTGGAATATGTGCATCCAAGAATACCTAAAAACCCAATGGGTAGGGCACTCATCTGGGATGCTGAAAACCGAGCTTTGAATCCCCAAACCAAATGATTTGGAACAGGGACTTGAACCCAGATCTCCCACATCTCAGGTGGATGCCCTGACCACTAGTCACTCTTACTTTTTCTCTCTCTATCCTAAAAGAATATTTCATTATTAATACAAAGTGGAACAGCTCTAACAGAAAGATCCACCCAAGAATAACCAATAGCCTAGTGGTAAGGGAGTCACCTGGTTGGTAGAAGACCTGGGGGTTCTAGCCCCAGCTCCAAATCAGGCAAAGTAGAGATTTGAAAACTGGTCTCCCAGGTGGATGCCATAACTACTGGGACAGTGGCAATAATGGGATGGCCTCTCTTGCGCTCTCCAGTTTTTCCTGAGAATGGGCAGATATGGCTTAAGTCCAGGAGAGGACGTACAGCTAAGAATCCCAACCTGAGATAAGTGCCTAGCAACCAGAATCAATGGAAGTTAAAAGCATAAATACGGAGATGGATCTGGGCCCTGAGCACCACTCCCTTCCTCTGCATTTCACTCCTGGCTAGCCTACATGGGTTCCCATTCACTTTGCTGCCTTCTGAAAAATCCCTTTCTTAGGGATCTAACTCTCCCAATGCAATGCATAGGGAGCCTGGGCAATTAACTCAGGGGCTGTTATTTCCACTGGCAGCAGTGCACCTATTAGTTGGGGAATTAGGGGTTGCAACCCCTAATTCCCCTTTATATTTATGATTAATACTATGACTTGGGCATGGAAATATTCAGTAAATGTCACAGAAAAGGTGTGGGCAAAAGTGATAAGTCACAGAAAGTTAAACAATGTAGTTTTTGTTACATCAACACATGCAAGAGCATAGTGAGGGGTGCTGAAAGGCGAGGCCTGGGGGAGTTATAGAGTGAGCTCACCCCACAGCAGCAGCTCCCCACTCCAGCTGTTGTGACTCAGTGCATTTAGCTCACAGCACCAATCAGCTATGGTCCATCTGCCCCTCTGTAAATGGGGAAAGAAAGGCAGATGGGTCAAACCTGAGTAGCGCTGTGACCCTGTGCACCAGGTTGCAAGGCCACTGTGTCCGGGGGCATAAACAAATATGTTTTACAACCATTTCCAAGATTTCACAGACTTTATTCAAATTCATAATTTCTATGATCAGTGTGACAAAATCACAACCTTATTTATCACACACAGTACAAAGAGCACGGAGGTCATGAAGCACTTCCCTTTCACAATTTGTTTAAAGCTGTATGGACTGAAGGACAAATGTGTTTTACTTCTAAGCAAGTTGTTTGCAAGTTACATGATAAACACAAGCATTGAACTAGAGACGATCATTACAGTTCATGACGCAGAGGCATGGAAAGGATGGAAGACATTTTCTGTTAAGTTAGCAAATACACAGAGGAGGTGTTTAAACCTGTGCAATGGAATTTCCCCGGCAACACAAGACAACACATATAACTTCGACTGAGCCAAGGCTCCGGGTTACAGCGTTCAGCAGCAAAGGCACCATCTTTCTGTAAACATGGACTCCTCTCACACCAGCTCTCTAAAGTAGCATTCAAAGCATTTTATGGAGGTATAGCAAGTCATAGCCCTCCATTGCCTATGATCATTTTACCTTTGTGAAAGGGTTTCGATATTCAATAGATCACTATTAAGTCTCCCCTATATGTATTATGATTAATTCATGCAGAAAGTGCTTCCCCTTGCCTGTACTGGGGTACCAAAAAGTTTCATATACTGTGGTTTTCCCCAAGGCAGGTAAAGCTTCAGATTTCACTCTGACACATTCATGCCTGCAATTATTTTTTTGTTCTAGGTATTGTGCTAAAGACAGGATCCCTCAAACAGAAGGGCTGGTTTAAAATTTGCAACACATTTATATTAAAAAATGCTGTTAAAATATCAATCCCTTTTAGTTGAGTCTGTTCAGTCCCTCTCTCCCCAGTAACAGATTGTGCATTAGGAAAGAGTGACTTTGCGCAAATGAATTCATCAAATGTATTGACTTCATTTAAAACTGACTGGCCATTTGTTATGACATTTATATTTTTGATGCAAGTTTCTATACCATGAGGTTCTGAGCGTGCACTGCTTTCAGGAGGGTGGACAGCATTCAAAGAAACCTTTACCAATAAGACTATCAAATTTGAAAACAGCTATGATAAATATTCAATATAAAGTTAAAACCATTTATGCCTTAGACAAAATGAATTGTGCATCTTCATTCAGTAATACTGAACGACTCACACCAATATTCTAACAAAATTCTTACGACTCATACATACAAATCCAGTGATTATGCTAATTAGTGCACTTCACTATTACATGAAACTTGTGCGTTTCTACAGTATTTTCCTTCTGCCTCACAGGGCTGATTCTGACTGGTATTTTAACTCAGTATTATTCTTTTCATGTTCTGTAGGACTGTCAACTGGTACCTGCAGAAAGAATTAAGGGATTAAGTAGTTATACAAATGAAGCTATCCCTGACTTCAGTTTGCCAGTGAACAATGAGACTAATCACTAAATTCTACAGTTCATATAGCCAGTTAGACTACATTACTGTTTTAGAAACTAGATTTGGTGAATAATTAGTTTGAGTTAGATAATAGAAAGGCATAAAAAAACAGATTCCCTTCCTCCTTCAATTTACGATTAAAAATTATATGGAATTTAGATCTCCTATAAATTATATAATTTTCCCATCTATATTACAGATGGAGTGTTGACATGGATCTTAGTGAGATTAACATTCAGTTCATCCCCACTGTATTTAAATACAGTAGAGGAGGATCTTGAAAATAAGGAAATCCTGCTGTAACTTATAGGTACACATAAATTACCTAAAGTAGGCAGAAAACTATGTGATGTCTTACTGTAACAGCATCTATCACAAAGGCATCTTCATTTCCTTGAAGGTCAAGAAAAATACAGGATGGAAAATTTCAACTGTTTACCCTCATTTAAACAACTAGTGACTATGTAATATATTGCAAAGCTAACAGCTAGGAATACACATCTTGTGATCTACTAAAGAACATAAAGCAATGCTTATTGCTCAACTTTCCCTCACTTCAAAAGGAGCAAAGGGATACACCAGGGATCAGAAACCTTTGGCACGCAGCCCGTCAGGGAAATCCACTGGCGGGCCAGGACGGTTTGTTTACCTGCAGCGTCTGCAGATTTGGTCGATCGCAGCTCCCACTGGCCGTGGTTCGCCGTTCCAGGCCAATGGGGGCTGTGGGAAGTGCTGGCTGCTGCTTCCCACAGCCCCCATTGGCCTGGAGCAGCGAACTGTGGCCAGCGGGAGCTGCGATCGGCCGAACCGGAGGACCCTGCAGGTAAACAAACCGTCCTGGCCCGCCAGTGGATTTCCCTGACAGGCTGCGTGCCAAACGTTGCTGATCCCTGGGATACACCTAAACCGCACTCAATAAATTCACCATGGCATGAAACTCTACCATGCCTCTCTTTCATACACACGTGGATCTCACTTAAAGGGAAAACCATTATTTCACTGAAATGCCAAATGTATAGCATATACTCCTAAGCCTACACTTAAAAAAAGCTCTTTGCAGTAAGCACTGTAAATTTTGATGCAGTTAAAGGGCTAATCTGCAGCAAGCAATATGGAGACCAATACCAGCTATTAAGAATAGAGAAAACTCTGAAGGCACAGGTGGCACTGTCCTATATTCTGAAGAACCGCTAAGAGATATACACATATCAGTTACAAAGAGAAATAATCAGATAACTGAGGGAAGGTCCTAAAGTGTATCAGCTGCTCTAGCTGAATTAGGAAGCAGTCACATATTGTATTTTGATGTTAAATACTCATGTAATTACAAGTCTAATATTAAAGTGCAATAATATAATCAAAATAAAAAAAGGTTAAATCACTTACAGCTTTAATGTCTGTGTTCAAAATCCCAGAATTTATAGTCTGTCTTCGCAAATCTGATTTGATTAAGGCTGAAACAAAGAAAACATTTGTAACCCCCAACTTTCACATACCGCGACCATTCCAGGAGACTGGCTGTACCACTATGGCACAGATGTGGCAGTTACTTTATCACCTGTTCAAAAGAGATTTCTTTATTTGCACTGACTTATTCACCTACCCATATTCTTCACAAGTTTTAAACTTGTCCCTCACAGAAGTCATTTAACAAGTTTTTACATATGACATTTTCTTAACCACATTAAGACATCAGTAGGGGCATGGTGAATGTTGATGCTTTTGGCAAATACTTCCCTGTACACATGTAAACTTCCCTGTACACTGAGTAAGTCCCAGGTATAAATTTGTGAACCAAACAGTAATTTCTCTAGTCTGAGAACATTAGAGCTGCCCATAATGAAGTCTTGTCAGGCTGTTTGCATGTCTCTAAATCCCCTCAGAAGAAGGCCCTCAGAATAGAAGACTTTTGTACAGAATCTCTTATATGAAAGAGCAGAACAGTTTTATTTCTAGAGGGAAAGCATCTACTTCCACGTCCCCGGACCTCTCCCATGTTCCCTCTGAGTGCACAATGTCCAGGGATTTCTTACTCAACATCAGACCACCAGAAAAGAATGCTATCAAGCCACCCACTGGGGAATGAAAGCATGTGAGTGGGACACAGTTCTCCAGGAATAACTCTCAGTTAAGTTTCCTCCAAGTCAGTTCCTCTCTTCAAAGCAACATGCTTTGACATTCAAATGCATTAAATTACAAGTGTGTAAGAACCAAGCACAGGCCCAAGATCAAAAAATCCCACACTCCAACCATGAATTTGACTTGTTGTGGCACATTGAGCAAGCCACTCTATCTGAGGCATAAACAACTTCCTGTCTATATCATAAGCATGATTTGCTTCAGTTTCTTTGCACCACATTATATAAGTATTAGGGTTATTACAGTATCAAAAATGTTCTGGATTACTACAAAAGTGAGGCAGTGCTATCATTCACTTTTATGGGCTGATAAAGCTTTATAGGCCTATTTACAGTAACCAACAAATTTCTAGTTCTTCATTGGATAATTTACCTTTAAAAAGGTCCCTAAGCCAAGAAATCAAACTCAAGCTAGTGAGGGTAAATTTTCATACACATATAAAATGCTATTATTTCCTCACCAGCCAACTGACATCCAGCATTCCTCATAATCAAAAGGTTCTTATCTTAAGCCCACTCTCAGTGGTGGGTATTTCTAATTGGCTAACAAGGTTAGTTTTTCCTCATATTCCATAATGGACAGTTTTGCCCTTGCAGACAAAAAATAAACGTGAAGAATGCTAATGCCATCCAAAAATTTAACAAGTCATTAAAAAATGAATGCCTCATCAGTTCTCAAAAACCAGCTACAAGACATGAATGTTTTGCACATTAATAGCACACCGCTAAAAAACATTTTTAAAAAAAGTAATTTGTAAGACAATTACTAGTAGAATTGTCTATGCCCCACATATATATGGCTTCAGATAACATGAGATCTTATAAGACAGCCTTGCAAGCTTGTCAGTAAAACCTACAGGCAAAAATCTCTTATCACACTCAAACACCAATATGCACAAGAGCCCCAACCCCCAATACACACACCACCTGCACATGTGGATATGTGCAATCCAACACTGTAGTGATGAGGCACATAAAACTTTGAACTCTCTTGAGCCATCAGGTTTGAGTAAAGCTCAACGATACATAAATCTACCACTAGCAACTAGTTTTACAGATTTTAGCCAACTCCTTACTCTCATAATTTTGTAAGTAATACCCCTCTAGCCATCAAATCTCCAGAAAATGAGATATTAGCCAGTGATGGCAGCTACCATAACTAGGCAATTCCATCCCTTTTCTTATGGCAGCTGGAAGGAATTTGTGGTTTTACCTCCAAACTGGCAGATCAAGTTCATACAAAGAAACCTCTTTTTCACAAAATAAAGTTGTGCGCTGTCTGTTTATACAACTATTGGATCATTCTATTTTAGAAGAGTGATCACTTCAGGCAACTACTAGAGAGTCATTCACTCCAAAAACATTAAAATCAATTAAAAACACCTGGAGCTTTTCATAGGCCAGAAAGGACCATTGTGATCATTTAGTCTGACCTCCTGTATAAAACAGGCCATACTACACAAGGCCAAAATAATTCCTAGAATATATCCTTTAGAAAAAATATCAAATCTCGATTTTAAAATGATTGGTGATTGAGAATCAACCATGACCTTGGTAAGCTGTTCAAATGGTTTATTACTCTAATTGTTAACAATTTATTCCTTATTTCCAGCCTGATTTGCAGTTATTTGCTGAGCAATGTATTTGATTGGTTCTAAAAAACCCCACATATTTAAACGATCATTCTGGCTTGTAAACAGACAGACATTAGTGGCAAAACTAACTTCACCCTGTAAATCCATTTAACCAAATCTATCCAAAAATCTCTATTTCTTAAGTGTGTTTTTTCATACTTTGGATTTAAAAATCCAGCTTTATGTACTAATTTAAACTGATGTATGTTTCTTTCATTTGTGTTTACTAAGATGTTTTGCAATGCTTTGAAGATAGTAAAATGTTCTAAATTTATGAAGACACTGTAGAGATGCAGTCAGGAACATGACTGTATATGTAGTTACTGTGTTGTCCTTAGAATGAGGTATGCATGCAGTAAATATTAATAACAATTCTTTAATCAAGGAATAATTTTCCATCCTTTGACATAGATAAGAAAACTGTGTGTTTAAACTCTATTGCTTTGTTGGAGACATTAACTCATCAACAAAGAACAAAAATACCTACATAAATAAAGGTAAATAGTAAATGTGATTAGTTACCTGTTAAAATAATGCCTATTAACATCCAAGCACAGAGGAAAAGGTTTCCTGCACGAGGGCCATAATTTGTTATGAGCTTTCCTTGAACCAGTGTAAAGAAAATCCCAAATATCTGTAATCAATCATAAAACATTTCAGATTTTATTAGACTCATTTAGTAAATCTCTTCTAATTTAGCTTACAAAAATTCAGATCAGTGTATTATAGTTATTCTACCAGTCTAGAGACTGGTAAACAAACACACACTATAGGAGCACAATAAAATGCCAGCAGTCAAATCTAGACTGTTTCCCCAAAAATTCAGGCAGAGAGGCTTTATTAAATGTTACCCTCATTTACAAGAATAAGTCTGCAATAACCTGTGCTGAAGCATTAAGGAGTCCTGATGAAGTGCCTTCAGACTCTGGGTAGGTAATTTCCACAGCAAACTCAAAGCCAAGTGGGAGATAACCAGTCATGAAGAAGCTGAAGGGGGGAAAAAAAAAAAAAAAAGGTGAGAACAAGAGTATCCTAAGTGTGGCTCTATTCCATTGCTATGGATATGAAAAACAAACCTGAACAAAAGGTAATTTTAAAGTATCAGGTTACAGTGTTATGTGCTTGATTTCAAGAATTTATATAGTTTAGGGCTTAATCTGGCCCTCCCAACTTATCTGCCCTTGTTTTACAATGTCATTCTCATATCCTTCCACCATTCTAGTCCTGACATGTTTGTCTGGTTCTCATTCATAAACGATCTGTGCCGTGACTCCACGCAGCTCCTGGAAGCAGCGGCATGTCCCCTCTCCGGCTCCTACACATAGGGGCAGGTAGGTGGCTCTGAACGCTGCCCCTGCCGCAATCACCACCCCCGCAGCTCCTATTGGCCAGGAACCACGGCCAATGGGAGCTGCAGGGGTGGTGCCTACAGACAGGACAGCATGCAGAGCCACCTGGCCGCGCCTCCACATTGGTGATGGAGGTGGGACGTGCCACTGCTTCTGGGAGCTGCTTGAGATAAGCGCGCCCGGACCCTGCACCCTGACCCCCTCCCCCAATCCCCCTCCTGCCCTCCAAACCCCTCAGTCCCAGCCCAGAGCACCCTCCTGCACCCCCCAACTCCTCATCCCCACCCCAGAACCCCCAACCCCAGCCAGAGCCCTCACCCCCTCCTGCATCCCAACCCCCAGTTTTGTGAGCATTCATGGCTCCCCATACAATTTCCATATCCAGATGTGGCCCTCGGGCCAAAAAGTGTGCCCACCCCGCTGTGGAGGAACGGGATTGACCATCAGTAAAGACACTAGAACTGCACCTGGGGACTGCTGTGGAAATTAGGGGAACTGAATGGAGGGCAGATGGGAACTCAGTGTACTTACTTTTTACAATTATAACTTAGACTTAACGCCTATCATCACCCCAGTCGCTTCACCTGTCTATCCCTTTCCCCACCTCTCTTTGTTTTTTTAGATTATATGCTCTTGGGGGCAAGGACTGCATCTTCCTCTGCATTTGAGATGTGCCTAACATATTTTGGTTGCTAGAAAAATATAAATTGTACATAGTAGCAATTATTATTAGTGAGCTCAAATGCCCAACCCCACTACTTTTGTTTATTTGGGGGCCTGATCCAATGCCCACTGAAGTCAATGGGAAGACTCATTTGTTTCAATGGGCTTTGGATCAGGCTCATATAAGAAAGCTAAATTCTGGTCTTCATCACACTGGTGAAAATTGAGAGTAAATCTACTGACCTCAGCGGACCAGAATTTGGTCCACTCACCCATTGTACATGTAGTATAGGATAGGTCATATGTATGGAAAGGGAGTTTTACAGGTATAGTCTTTTAGTTTAAAAAAAGCCATTAGATACCTTCAAATATAGTTTTTAACTGGAATTACAACAGGTCTTCCTTTCCCCTTTGATTCCTTACCCAAGCACTCCTCCAGTCACAAACACTATTACAAGGTGTCCAATGTCCAGGGTGAAAGTAAATATGATCATTCCAACAAATGAGAGAATGTAAACGATTAAAGTAGTCTGTCTGCAAACAAAAGCCAAGAGAAAATACCCACCGTAAATCTGAGAAGGCAATACATATTGTCTAACATGGACATCATGTGAATATTACATATTCTCTTTGCTATAATTGAAATATGAGTTTTAAAAATCTGCTTCAGGTAATTCCAACTCATATATATACAAATTGTGCTAATGGATGCAGTCTGAGCAACTGAGGCACACATTAGTTTTATTAGCCAATCATATGCAGCAGGGCAACCATTCTACTGCATTACCATCCACTAGGGTTATTAAAGCTACTGTACATAATTTATAATAAAGAAACACTGAAATAAGAACTTCACTCTAAGACCGTTCTTGTTTTGAAAATCAACATCCCCTATTTCCCTTATACATGTTTGCTAAATACCACAGCATACGCATTCTACAGAGCCTGTAACAGTGTTCTGCTCCACGGACATCCGCTGGATTAAAAGCTGAGTTATGCTTATTTAAAGACCCAGTAGAGGGTGCAAAAATTTGAATAAATAAATTAAGCTCCTAATTTAAAATGTGGTGAAGCCAGTATGCTCCACCAAAGGAGGAACTTGTTGGGTCAAAGCTGGAACAAGATAGAATCGGGAGAGGTGGGTCTGCTGGAACCCAAGATGCCTTTCCTATTTTGCTAACATCATGCATGCATGCATTCTCCAGCCACAGGGATAGACAGAAACCCCTACAAATTCTCACATCACCCCATAGTGGACTCAGCCCAACCCTGCCCCAACCTCATTCTGGCCAGAAACCAATGAGATAGACTCTAAGACTCCTACCTCAGTCTCAGTCATGGCACTCCCTCAAGGACAAAGAAAAATCATGGACATATTGATGTTTTTTTTTTTTTAAATCATTTCCCTTCCACAAAGGTGCACTTGAATCTTTGTATTTTTATACAAGACTCCCCTCCCCCCCAACAATTACACATCTGCCCTACCCCCGCCCATCCCAACTCCACTCACTCACTTACTTGTATGTTTTGGTGTAATCCAGCCACAAACCACAAATAATGGAACCCACAATTCCTGCTACCACCAGTGTCAAGCCAATCCTCCCAGCATTCACTTCTTCTCCCTTTCAACAAATATTTATATGGTGTTTATTAATAAGTCACTTCCACTCAAGGAGTCAGGCTCTCAGACCTCTTGACAGTTATAAATTCAAACACTAGTACTTATCACCTCCATAACTGTATGGAGTATGCAATTTTAAGGGACTACAAAGGAGACTGAATCCTTGATCACACAAATGTCCACACCTGGGAAACCAACTCTGCAGATATACAAATAAAAAAGCAAAGGATTCCAGAGAAACTTACCACATAATATGTTACTATCATTTGGTTCAATAATGTGGAGACAGAATAAAATGCCCCAGTCATCATACCTGCAATAGCAAAACAACATGATGTACCCTCCATATCATTAACCATATTGTAAGTGGCAATAATAATCAAACGTTTACATTAAAAGAAGCAACATTCCCCACCAGGAAACTCAGTAAGTCACCAGCTCAATGTCTACTTATTGCCTTTTTTTTTTTTTTTTTTTTTGGTAAAAGGTTTCTCTGTATCCTAAAGCGCCCCTGACCTTCCGCTATAATCTGTGCCCAGACTCTCAAGGGCTAGCATTCAAGCCACCATCTGTCTGAATGAGTTGAATTAGAATGACAATTTTAGGGGTCTATGTTAGCTACTCCTTAAAAGGAAGCACTCAAATTAAAAATCACACGTGTCCAAATGTATTTTACCTATTCTTAAAAATGGTAATTAAGATAACAATAACTTAGAGAGATTAGAGAAGACATATTTATGCTTTCCTCAGTGGGTTTGCTTTGTGCATTTAAAAGCATTTTGTATACAGTCAGCTTCATTGTTCCCACAGTTTGTTTCCCTAGGTCTTCCACACATCAGAGAAAAACAAAGCAATAAAGCTACTTTCCTCAGCAAGTCTTGCTCTCCCAGGCTGTGTCTACACTAGAGACATTTACCATGCTACATGACATTTGTCCCCCCAGAACTACTCTCTTAATCATTTAGCAGCTATAAAGACTATGATTTGTCAAGGCTTCACATCAATTAAGCTTCAGTCATTCCAGGCCCAATCTTAATGTCAGAAGTGCTAGTACAATTAGTAAAAAGAAAAGGAGTACTTGTAGCACCTTAGAGACTAACCAATTTATTTGAGCATGAGCTTTCGTGAGCTACAGCTCACTTCATCAGATGTATACCGTGGAAACTGCAGCAGACTTTATATATACACAGAGAATATGAAACAATACCTCCTCCCACCCCACTGTCCTGCTGGTAATAGCTTATCTAAAGTGATCATCAGGTGGGCCATTTCCAGCACAAATCCAGGTTTTCTCACCCTCCACCCCCCCACACAAATTCACTCTCCTGCTGGTGCTAGCCCATCCAAAGTGACAACTCTTTACATAATCAAGTCGGGCTATTTCCTGCATAAATCCAGGTTCTCTCACATCCCCCCCACCCCCATACACACACAAACTCACTCTCCTGCTGGTAATAGCTCATCCAAACTGACCACTCTCCAAGTTTAAATCCAAGTTAAACCAGAACATCTGGGGGGGGGGGGGGGGGTAGGAAAAAACAAGAGGAAATAGGCTACCTTGCATAATGACTTAGCCACTCCCAGTCTCTATTTAAGCCTAAATTAATAGTATCCAATTTGCAAATGAATTCCAATTCAGCAGTTTCTCGCTGGAGTCTGGATTTGAAGTTTTTTTGTTTTAAGATAGCGACCTTCATGTCTGTGATTGCGTGACCAGAGAGATTGAAGTGTTCTCCAACTGGTTTATGAATGTTATAATTCTTGACATCTGATTTGTGTCCATTTATTCTTTTACGTAGAGACTGTCCAGTTTGACCAATGTACATGGCAGAGGGGCATTGCTGGCACATGATGGCATATATCACATTGGTGGATGTGCAGGTGAACGAGCCTCTGATAGTGTGGCTGATGTTATTAGGCCCTGTGATGGTGTCCCCTGAATAGATATGTGGGCACAATTGGCAACGGGCTTTGTTGCAAGGATAAGTTCCTGGGTTAGTGGTTCTGTTGTGTGGTATGTGGTTGTTGGTGAGTATTTGCTTCAGGTTGCGGGGCTGTCTGTAGGCAAGGACTGGCCTGTCTCCCAAGACTTGTGAGAGTGTTGGGTCATCCTTTAGGATAGGTTGTAGATCCTTAATAATGCGTTGGAGGGGTTTTAGTTGGGGGCTGAAGGTGACCGCTAGTGGCGTTCTGTTATTTTCTTTGTTAGGCCTGTCCTGTAGTAGGTAACTTCTGGGAACTCTTCTGGCTCTATCAATCTGTTTCTTTACTTCTGCAGGTGGGTATTGTAGTTGTAAGAAAGCTTGACAGAGATCTTGTAGGTGTTTGTCTAAAACTAAAACCCCTCCAACGCATTATTAAGGATCTACAACCTATCCTAAAGGATGACCCAACACTCTCACAAGTTTAGATGAGCTATTACCAGCAGGAGAGTGAGTTTGTGTGTGTATGGGGTGGGGGGGATGTGAGAAAACCTGGATTTATGCAGGAAATAGCCCGACTTGATTATGTAAAGAGTTGTCACTTTGGATGGGCTAGCACCAGCAGGAGAGTGAATTTGTGTGGGGGGGTGGAGGGTGAGAAAACCTGCATTTGTGCTGGAAATGGCCCACCTGATGATCACTTTAGATAAGCTATTACCAGCAGGACAGTGGGGTGGGAGGAGGTATTGTTTCATATTCTCTGTGTATATATAAAGTCTGCTGCAGTTTCCACGGTATACATCTGATGAAGTGAGCTGTAGCTCACGAAAGCTCATGCTCAAATAAATTGGTTAGTCTCTAAGGTGCTACAAGTACTCCTTTTCTTTTTGCGAATACAGACTAACACGGCTGTTACTCTGAAACCAGTACAATTAGTGTAAGCAGTCCTACTATAGGGGGTGAAGGATGTCCGGTGTAGAGCTAATGACAGCCTTTCATCTACCTGCTTCCCCCAAAAGTACTATGATGCACTGAATTCTGCTCATGGTTTTTGAGAAGACCACAGGCCACGCACAGTTTTTGATCTCAAGCTGTTAAATGAGTGATAGCATGGCAAAGATTGGATGGACTCTAGGAATGTATCTGGCCTTTATTACCAGCCTAAAGATAAAAGGCAACACTCACCATAACTGATCATCAAAAGCACAAAAGGAATATTTCTGAACAGGTTAATTATTGATTGTTTATAAGAGTAATCTTCAGGAGGAATGTCCTGGAGAACTGCTTGAGCCTGGCTTGGAGGAAATTTAGGCTTTTCATCAAACACTAGAACAAACACAAAAGAACAACATTAATAGAGTTTTTCACCCTACTTACCTTTACCAGTTTACCTTGAGTAATGGCTTGGGATTTTACGTGAATACAAAATGTTCCGGTTTAAGAAACATGGTAAAATAGATTTTTATGAAAGCGTAAACAACAAACGTCTTCCATTCAACTTTATCCTCTGACAAGAGCTAGCCAGACTGAACATGCCACCTCCATTCACTCTGGTTGGAGTGCTACTGACAAACATACCCTAGAGACATTTTTCATCGGTCACATGTTTGGGCCCTTATATCTTAGAATACAATTCCTCGAAGCAAATGCCCAAGTCATGCGATGGCATGAATTAATTGGCGCACTATGTCTCTCTTTTCAAGATGACTGAACAGCTTACCCAAACCAGGATCAACATATTCCACTCTCTTTGGACCTGGTCCAGTTTGTAGTTGGAGTCCCAGAAGTAAACAAGCTAGTGCATCAGCACTTCCCTAAATACACCTTGAGCTAACTTCAGTTAAGAAAGAAGATGCAACAGTTCAAGTCCTGAAACTGAAGCATTAGTATTGGTAAGCCTCCACCATAACTTCTTTTTAAAGAACTTATTTTCCTCCTGGTTGAGAGTAAAGGACCAAGATTAAGGGCTTGTCTACACAAATAATTAGTTTGCAGTAGCTGGGGTCTGAATCTATCCCACACTAGCCTGCTATGAACTAAATGCCCATGTGGACGCTGCTCCGCACATAAACAATTCATTAGCACTCTTTGCTCTAGTCCTCTTTAAGATCAGACTAGATCAAAGCGCATTAATGAACTGTTACAGTGTGTCAGCAGGGTCCACATGCACAGTTAATCCACAGCAGGGTAGATTAGGATATTCACAACCCAGCCTGCTGCGAACTAAATGTTCATGTAAATAAGCCCCAAGTGTCCTTTACTCTAGATATCCTTCAAGGGAGACCATTTTGTTTCACTGGAAACTTGTCAAGTTACAGTAACTCAGTTGTCTTCTTTCTGATTGGCCCCACAGATAACTGAAGAACAAAACTTGAGAAAATCTGATCTGTGCTATTGCCCTTACATTAAAGCTGTGATTTTCAACCTTTTCTCATTTGCGGACCCCCAAAGATTTTGAACGGAGATGTGGACCCCTTTGGAAATCTTAGGCACACAGTCTGCGGACCCCCAGGGGTCCATGGACCACAGGTAGAAAACCATAGTTCTATAGTAACAATCTTTTGCAGACTGCTTAAATAACCAGTGCATTAGAGGACTGGAAAAAAAGGAAGAGTGTTTTAACTGTTGATTGCTCCTTCTCATGCTCTAACTTGTCCTTGTACTAAAGAGGAAGTCAGCTGACTTTCCCTGAAAGCCTCTTTGAATCCTGGTTTGATGGGAGATATTATTTTTAGATACCATTGCTATCACAACCTATGACAACCGATATTAAGGCCTAAACATACTATAATCTATTTAAATTGTTTTAAAACATTATATTTTATTAGTACATTTGCTGCCTAAGTTTTAGAGTCAAACCATTCAACTGATGGAAGTCACTGGCTAAGTACCTGGAACCAGCTGTTTGTTGAAGTGCTAAGCCAGCTTTTGACAGCAGTAGCTTCTTCTGCAGGTACAGAGAGAATATTTTCTTCATTTCAGTTTATTCCACTAGTTCAGTTCAATGACTAGTCAATTCAAAGGTAAGGAACTGACTGGGAGCTGAAAAAGCAGGAAAGCTTGTTTTCCTCTTCCAATGACTGAATAAGAACAAGATGTCAGAGATCGACTAGCCCTAAAATCTTGAAGGACATGCAGATAAGAAACAATTACTTTAATTCACTATCTACAGACCATACTTCCTTTGATTAATAAAGCAGTTTTAATGCAAAACATGTTTTGATTACTTTGAATATAGTGGTTACATAGAAAAACAAGTAATTTAGTCTAATAAAAGCAATTTTAAAATGTTGTTTTTCTACATTTAACTGAATTTCAAATTCCATTCAAATTCAGTTTGCCACAAATCACAAGCTAAAAACTAAAAAAAATCAAATAAGGAATGTGTCATTCTTCATTTTGTAACACAATAAAAATATAAAAATTAAGAAAATCTGAATATATGTTAAAGTATAAAATTGCTAAAATAAATGTGTATAGATATAGTTTAGTAAAAAGTAGTACCAAAAACTTAGCATAAGGGCATTTAATAGCAAATCAACATATTTCAATTGTTACCAACCAATGAGAATCAGCTATTATTTAGGAAAATAACTAAAAAGTACAAAAGCAAAACAAAGAATAGAAGTGAGGATTTAACTCAAGGTTTTCTGCTTGCTGATTTATATCAAGATTAAAATCAATCCACTCTGGAATGAAGCAGGATCACATTAATCAGATCACCTAGCCCTTGTCTTAAGTATTGAGATGTTCTGCTTACAGTGGCAAAATGAGGGTCAATCTAGCTCCCTTATTTAGTTATAAGGCCGAAAGTGCACTGCTATGCTAACTCCATTATATCTCAATATTGTAACATTTGTGACAAAAGATCACAGATAAAAAAAATAACATTTTTGTGCAGAATACCTGCCAAGGACCTCTACACCATTTATGCACCATTTTAAAGGGCTTAAATGGTACACAAGTCTTCATGCAGACCCTCTACAAAAGGGTGAATTTCACCCCAATCACTAAAGGTTCTACAATACACAAACATAAGAGAACAGGGCAAGAAGAAACTTTTAGTGGTACCTGAATTTACATGCTTTGGTATGCGTTTGTATCAGACCCTTAACAGTCTGTAGTATAACTTATTTTATTTATAGTATTAAAAGTTGGATTTCTGTAAATATACCATTGGCTCTGGAGTTTCTTTAGGGATCTTTTGGATACGAATAGGTCAATGAACCCATTAAAACCTTTCTGACCTTTGTGTATATCTCTAAAGACATAGTCACACCATACTAGTTCAATATGCTGTGGATATAAAACCAGTGTCAAATATTGTTCAAGTGGCATTCAGCTGTATTTGATGATTTAGTATTTTTCCTTATTTCACTGTAGGTGGGACCACTAAAACAGAAAGCACATAAACGTTTATGAAATAAAGTCTAAACACAAATCCTTTCTTACTTGCTATTTAACAATACTTGAATGTGTTTACATTTTATCTTAGTAGGATTCAGTTCTCATTATTTTGATTTATTCAATTAGCATTTTTCCCCTACCACTTCCTTAAACTTTCGACATCCTCAGGTTAGATAAATTCATACACTGATATTTGGTAATCACTAGACACTCAATCACCAATCTGCAGTATTGATCAGCAGCTTTCACATTGACTGTGAATGAGAAATGTGAATTCAATATCGAAGACTGGAAAAATAAGAGCAGCTCACCAGCTTTATAAAACCACAAATGTCCTATCCATCTTCCTGAAGCTTTAGCAAACAAAACCCCACTAAAACCTCACAACTCCTTCCACCCTTCCAATGACAGGTAAGGAGGTTTTATCAAGAAAACAGGAGATAGTTTATCTGGTGTAAGAGGAAATCAAGCTCAACTTCAGGTAAAAGTTATACATGTGGAACATAGACATGTGTATCCATGTGGAATAAAGCAAAGGGAGTATCAACTATGAAAGCCTGCAACTCATTCATTTATCATAGATGTAACTGACCTTGGGCTTGTCTAGAAGGGTTAGAGCCTGGCAAGCTGGGATGTAAATCTACTGCTCACTAAGATGCTATACACAGTCTGCGTGCCATGGACGCTGCTGCTGTGCACTGAAAGTTCCCTATTCCGCTTTGAGGTCAGACCAGCCCTAAGAATACTGTTTTTAGCAACCATTGGAATGAAGAACACTGTCCCCAGGGTTCAAAAGGAGTACTCTAACTCCGGCAGCATTAAGCTAAGATCCTGTTTCTGAACACTTCTTTAAACCGACATCAGTCCTTTAGGGAATCTCCTGATGTTGGGATGGCTGAATATTTTACAGTTGTCAACTGAAGGAATAGCAGAAAATTGAGAGACTTCAGTTATAACAACAAGTCCAAAAACAGACTAAGAGGGAGCAGAGCATGGAGACATGTTATCTGCTGCCAACAAAGATAACAGAAATGAACACGGTTAGTAACACTGGAGGGTTTTATGGACTGTAATACGAAATGTAACTTTACTGGACACACTAGATCAGAAGCTGATGTCTCATAATCCAAGCTGCAAGATAAAGAGACTTTGGCCTGGGGATGCAGAACAAGGCTGTCGGCCTGGGCTAGACATTCTGAAGACAACCATGACAGATCCAGAAGATGCACTACTTGGCCCAAACAGGAGGGATCAGAATGACACAGGCCTTGTCCTGTCTGATCACCAATGTGCATACAAATCCACAGAACAGGAGAACTCTGCTCCAGTCCTAACAAGAACACATCTCTAAATGCGTTTCCATCAATCTCTGCTCTGAAGCAAAACTGAGGGAGTTTTGCATTGCTACACCTGCAGCTAGCCACAGAAAAGGAAGGTACTGAGGCAACTGGGGCCAGGCTCTTACAATCTCACCTGTGAACATTCAGTGCCTTGAGGCGATGCTTGTGCAATCCCAACACCCACTGCTTTTTGAGGACCTTGGGGCACATCCCACAAGAGGTAACATGCAGAAACCACCTCACGTGTTATCAGTGTACAATTTACTTATTCTCAAATTTTTTGCTCCAATGGCATTTCAACTCATTTAAAGTTAAAACAGGAAACTGAGGCTAAGTCTACTCTTAAAACATCTGCTGATGTAGTAACAGGGTTGTAATTTTTCTTTTTAAATAACATTGTATAACAGCAAAAGCTCTAGATTAGATGCAGTTATACTGGCAAAAAAAAAACATGCTTTTGTGGGGAAAAGCTCATATAATTTAGGGAGCTGATATTCGCTATTCTGACAAAAGTACTTTTTGGTATAAGAGGCATCTATACTAGGAGAGTTTGCAGATCTAGCTATTCCTGCAAACTCTTTTTAGTGCAGACTAGGCCTAAGTCTATTCAGGTCTTTTTCTACAGCTCAGGGTGATCCACAACACAACATAGCATGGTTAAACGCAGGCAAACACTATTTTAGACAAACAAAACTTGCACATGAATTCAACCTATCTAGATACTTATACAGCCCTTACCATTATAGTAAGCAGCGCCTCCCAAGAACAAAAAACAAGCACATTTAATTCACCACTTGCTAAGAGTATCTCGACAGAAAGCAGATGTTTGGTGTGAGACACTGATAAGTTTATTCCAAGGAAAGCTAAGTCAAAGAGGTGGGATTTGCAATTTGTTCTAAAAGCTGCAGTTCATGGAGTTTAGAGTCACTACTGGATTGCTTTGCTCACACAGCCACCATATGAAATGTTTCACTTACCAACTAATGTTAATAAGAATGAAAGTGTGGATACTGCTGCTGTTCCATAGAACATGATGCTGATATTACGCCCCATTAGATCAGTATCATCAACTGTGTTTGGAACCAAAACTGGTGGTAACAAGAAGCCAATTGCCGTGCCAAGCTGCAAAAAGAAACAAAAAACAAATACACTTTCCTGTGAACATAAGCAATCAAAAGAACAAAGAAAAAAAGTCCTAACCTGTGGAATACGGAGCTTATATTATAGCACAGAAAGTGATTAATAAGAATTACAAAGGAAAAGTGTTCCTGCATTGTACTGAAGGGCAGCAGTTATTGATCTGTCAATTGTACTGACAACCAACAGCCAATATTTCCATAAACGAGTTTTCCTCTCTTCACTGCAATGCTACAGTTGGAATGTTACACACTGACAACAAAAAAAATTATGGAAGTCCTTCTGTAAGGAGGAAATTTCATATGAGAACACTGCTTTATGCACAGACATTTACTTGGCTTGTCATTCTGTAACTGAATGTACAGTACATCTAGACAGGACATGCGTTTCTCTTACAAACCAGTCTTCCCTCGTTCTTGATCATAATCCTGCATTTGACTTCACAGCCTGATGTTATAAAAGGGAAGTTCAGCATTATATTTTCACTGCAGGATTAATCAGGAAGAGATTGGCAACTAGGAAGGGAATGCCTTTGTAGAAACACATTTTCAGTTACTATTAAGCCTGACAAGAAGTGCCATAAAATACAAAAATAGCAGGTTTATGTTTTGGGCCAGTTTCAATTCAGCCTCTAATTCAAGAAAAATAGAAGGCTATGACTTAAAATTTGGCTCCTGGTATGTAAAACATTTGAAAATTTCTGCAGGCATAAGCATAGTTTCTTTAAATTTCTCTTGGTTTTGTCTCGTTACTGGCCGCTGCTTAGGCAGTTTGGGTGGGAGGGGGCTCAGGGCTGGGGAAGGGAGTTGGGGTGCGGGGCGGCACATACCTCGGGGAGGCTCCATGGAAGCTGCCGGCATGTTCCTGCAGCTCCTAAGCAGAGGGACCAGGGGTCTCAGTACGCTGCACACGCTCGCAGGCGCCGCCTGACTGTGGTTCCCAGCCAATGGGAGCTGTGGAGCCAGAGCTCATGGCGAGGGCAACGCAGGGAGCCCCACTGGCCTTCCTTCCCCCTAGGAGCTGCAGGAACACCCGGAGCCGACTAGGGAGCTTGCCAGCCCTGCCAAACCTCCCCCTATACAGCACCAGCGGGGGTGCCGGGCCACGCCACAGTCCCTGTGGTGCCCCCCCGACCATTCCCCGAGAGCACCCATGGTCCCAAGTGTTAGTTAGGGGAATATAGTACAAGTCATGGACAGGTCATGGGCCATGAATTTTTGTTTACTGCCCGTGACCTGTCCATGACTTTTCCTAAAAATACCCATGACTAAAACATAGCCTTAGTACTAACTAACTCACTCTTATAGTCGGGTAAGATGACTTCCAGTGGAACAAGAGTGAAATTATCAGCTCCTCTCATGAATTATCCAGTCGTGCTGGCAAGATTACTGAGGCTCACCAAAGGGTAATCCCAGTCTGTTTGTCCTGAACTGGTTCATCAGATCAGGACTACAGCTGGTGAGCATGAAGACTTCTACCTGAGTTTAGGAGCATGAAAGGGGCAGGTCCTCTTGCCTACCCCCAGCATCCGTCCTCCATATGGCATCCCCCATAGAAACACCACATGAGGGTCTGAGATGTGGAGTCATGGATGTGCGCAGGGAATGGGAGTAATCAGTTCTTAAAGGGATTCCACAGAGCTAATACTTAAGTAGCCTAGCACACCAAGGCAGCATCATCATAGAGAGCCTTGATGCAAGGATTGCTCCGATTCAGAAGGACTGAATGACAATTTGCCCCAAGCTCACTCTCAGACCACAAGCCCTGCCTACATCTCCACATGACTCTCATCCCCCACGATCTTCTCGCCTCCACCCCGGATGCTGCAGTATTACAGTAGTATTTGTTAGTGTATTTATTCTCTCTTCTTTTTGTTTGGGAAAATGATAATCAGTTATTTAACACAAAGCTAAACAGACCTTTCACCTCATTACAAGTCTCAACTGAAGCTTGTTTCTCCATTAGTTTTTTTCATTGTTTACCTAACTTTCATTGGATTAGTTTTTCTGAAAAACTCTTAAAAATGGAACCATGCTGTACATATTTGAAACAAGCACTTTGTAAGTTACTTGGTGATGTTACCCCAGTTTTGTTCTTTGATGTGCTCAATGCTTTTTTTTGCCTCTGTCTTCACGAACAAGGTCAGCTCCCAGACTACTGCACGGGGCAGCACAGCATGGGGAGGAGGTGACCAGCCCTCTGTGGAGAAAGAAGTGGTTCGGGACTATTTAGAAAAGCTGGACGAGCACAAGTCCATGGGGCTGGATGCGCTGCATCCAAGAGTGCTAAAGGAGTTGACGGATATGATTGCAGAGCCATTGGCCATTATCTTTGAAAACTCATGGTGATCCAGGGAAGTCCCGGACGACTGGAAAAAGGCTAATGTGCCCATCTTTAAAAAAAGGGAAGGAGGAGGATCCTGAGAACTACAAGCCAGTAAGCCTCACCTCAGGCCCTGGAAAAATCATGGAGCAGGTCCTCAAGGAATCAATTCTGAAGCACTTAGAGGAGAGGAAAGTGATTAGGAACAGTCAGCATGGATTCATCAAGGGCAAGTCATGCCTGACTAATCTAATTGCTTTCTATGACGAGATAACTGGATCTGTGGAAGAGGGGAAAGCGGTGGACGTGTTGTTCCTTGACTTTAGCAAAGCTTTTGACACGGTCTCCCACAGTATTCTTGCCAGCAAGTTAAAGAAGTATGGGCTGGACGAATGGACTATAAGGTGGATAGAAAGTTGGCTAGATTGTCGGGCTCAACAGGTAGTGACCAATGGCTCCATGTCTAGTTGGCAGCCAGTTTCAAGTGGAGTGCCCCAAGGGTCGGTCCTCGGGCCGGTTTTGTTCAATATCTTCATAAATGATCTGGAGGATGGTGTGGATTGCACCCTCAGCAAGTTTGCAGATGACACTAAACTGGGAGGAGAGATAGATACGCTGGAGGGTAGGGATAGGATACAGAGGGACCTAGACAAATCAGAGGATTGGGCCAAAAGAAATCTGATGAGCTTCAACAAGGACAAGTGCAGAGTCCTGCCCTTAGGACGGAAGAACCCCATGCACCGCTACAGACTAGGGACCAAATGGCTAGGCAGCAGTTCTGCAGAGAAGGACCTAGGGGTTACAGTGGACGAGAAGCTGGATATGAGTCAACAGTGTGCCCTTGTTGCCAAGAAGGCCAATGGCATTTTGGGATGTATAAGTAGGGGCATTGCCAGCAGATCGAGGGACGTGATCGTTCCCCTCTATTCAACATAGTTGAGGCCTCATCTGGAGTACTGTGTCCAGTTTTGTGCCCCACACTATAAGAAGGATGTGGAAAAATTGGAAAGAGTCCAGCGGAGGGCAACAAAAATGATTAGGGGACTGGAACATATGACTTCTGAGGAGAGGCTGAGGGAACTGGGATTGTTTAGTCTGTGGAAGAGAAGAATGAGGGGGGATTTGATAGCTGCTTTCAACTACCTGAGAGGGGGTTCCAAAGAGGATGGATCTAGACTATTCTCAGTGGTGGCTGATGACAGAACAAGGAGTAATGGCCTCAAGTTGCAGTAGGGAAGGTTTAGGTTGGATATTAGGAAAAACTTTTTCACTAGGAGGGTGAAACACTGGAATGCGTCACCTAGGAGGTGGTGATCTCCTTCCTTAGATATTTTTAGGGTCAGGCTTGACAAAGCCCTGGCTGGGATAATTTAGTTGGGGATTGGTCCTGCTTTGAGCAGGGGGTTGGACTAGATGACCTCCTGAGGTCCCTTCCAACCCTGATATTCTATGATCCTCTGTGGTTTGTTTAAGTACTTTCCATATTGGATTATAAGGGACAGATAATTTAGCTTCTATAACATTTAGTTTAAAAGAAATACATCAGCCAAAGCCTCCATTAAATTATAATGAGTCTCTAACAGCCATGTGCCTTTGAAAACTTCAGAAAAGATGCTGAATCAGAGCAGTCAGGTTTCTCATACAATGCCAGCTTTGAAATGACTAACTAGTTTAGATTTTCACTTATGTAGGCCTGCCGCACTCATTTGCAAGGAAAAAATCACATTAGTTTGTGGGGAGAACGCACAAAAACGTACTGGATCTTAACTCTCTCCTTGTTGTGATAGAGAATTTTGCTGTGTGCCTATCAATGGAAAATCTCTCTTAGGATCTGAATTTTCCTCATTCAAACAACATCAGTTCCGTATACTGTATTAGAAAAGCAAACATGCAGAAATACACCATTATCAAAGTGTGCCCCCGCCCCATCAGCGCCCTCTAACTTCAGCTGAGATTTTCCCCAGTTTCAACCAGATTCTTCTCTTCCCCTCCTTCCGTCTGGATTTCCTTCCCCTCTTCCTTAACCTCGATTTCTCCCTTCTAAACCATGGACTTGTGGCTGCTGCACTGATGAACACCGACCTACCCCTGTCCCCCCAAGACTCAACCGGGCATTTCTTTTCAAAAAAGAAGGGCGCAAACCCGACTCCCACCTTCCTACACAGCCCATTTCCCCCCGGATCTTTCGCTCCCTTTCCGCATTAGCTCGCTCTGCCCCCCGCCCCCTTTGCCCCAGGCCCCCCGGGCTCCCCTCCGCTCACCTGGTTGCCCAGCACGGCCACGGCGCAGGCAGTGGACACCTCCCTGGGCCCAAACCAGACAGCGGCGATGCGGGAGGGCAGCCCCAGGATGAAGACCTGGGCCACGGCGCACACGGTCTGGGCCAGCAGGGTGAGCGGGTAGAGGTCAGGCCGGGCGCTGGCACACTTCAGCCAGGCGCCCAGGCAGTTGAGGCCGGAGCCCAGCAGGGCGGTGAGGCGCAGGCCGCGGGTGTCCAGCAGCCAGGTGGCCGGCAGGATGAGCGGCACGTAGGCCACCATGTAGACCATGGAGAGCCAGTCCACGCGGGAGTGGGGGGCGCCGTAGAAGCGCGCGAAGACGCTGCTCAGGATGCTGTACTGGATCCACTGGAAGGCGTTCACCAGCGAGTAGAGGCTGAACACGGCCAGCACGGGCAGCCTGCGCCAGGAGAGCCGGGGGGCCGCCCGCGCCACGCCCGAGCCCGGGGAAGGCAGCATGGCCTGCGCCTCCGGGAGCGCCCCAGCATCCGCCCCGGCGGCGGGGCTGCCGCGCTCGGCCTCCTTCCCCGGGAGGAGCCCATTGGGCTGCGGGGGCATGTCCCCCTCCTCATCTTCCTCCTCCGCCCCGTCCCCAGCCATGGCCGCGCCTTCCCCGCCCAGCTTCCCGAGCCTCACGCCCGCTGCGCCGCTCCCGTGGCCCCGGCCGGCCCCGGCGCCGCCAGCTTGCTAGGACAGCAGCGACAGAGGCGCGCCGTGGAGAGTCCCTAGCTCTGCCGCGCACACGCGCGCGGCGCGGCCCCGCCCCGGCCCCCGTCTCCTCCAATCACAAGAGAGGGGCGGAGCTTCTACGCCATCCTTTTAGCCTACCTGGGGCGAGCGCGTGCGCTCCAGCCCCGCAGGCCACTTGCGCTCTCCCCGGTGCCCGCGGGCGCTACGCCTGGAGCTGTCCAGCCGCAGCGCCGGGCCGGTGTAGGGCACTAAAGTGCTCACAGCGGCCGCCCTCCTGTGACCTCCCTGGCCCGGCCCTTCGCCCTCCCGCGGGTTGTGGGAGGAGGGGCGTAGTGTATTAAACTGCTCCCTGTAGGAATGTGCTACTGGTCGTAGTTACTGATAGGTAATGGATTGTAATAAACTGCTATTGTAGTAAAGTGCTACCGGACGTAGCAAAGGCCTACAAGTAGCAGTTTCTTGCACTGTGGTGTATGTGAAATTGCTACGTGGAGAAATGTGCTATCCGTAGCAGTTATTTATACGTGAGCATTGTAAGAAACAGCTTTTGTCAAAAGATGCTCAACCCCTGTCAAAAGCAGTCCGCAGAATCCTACGGCTAATAAGGGCAGGGTGAAGGGCAGTGGCTTCAGCAGATGTCCTGAGTATGCTCAGTACACTGTAAGTAGCACATTACTACAGAGAGCACTTTACTCCGCTACACCTGGCCTGAGCCAGGTCAAGGTGGGAGGCTGAGAAGAGGGTCTCCCCCCCGTAGAGAAGCTGGGAGCCCAGCAGAGAAGCAGGATCCAGCCCCCTGCCCTCTCAGTGGCCCTGCCCCCATGAGGATCCAGCTGCCCCCTGGCAGCAAGACTCCCCAAAGAGAGGAGCCCCTGCCCCCTCCCCGCATGCTCAGGGTCTCTGCCCCATAGGGAAGTTGGAAGTGATGTGGAGAGGATCCAGCCCATCTCACCCTCCACAGAAGGACCACTTCTCTAGAGGGGGCCAGAGCCCAGAAAATGTGGGGAAAGGAGCCAGGGGCCTTTCCCTGCTGAACACCCTTTGAACTGGGGAAGCTAGAGCCCAGACAGGGATGGAGGAAAGTGCCAGCCCCTCTTGCCTGCTGGCAGAGCTACTGTCCAGGACAGCCCATGCTTAGGAGCAGGTGGAAGATGCGCTTCAGCATTGACTGTAATGTATACCCTGCCTGACTAGGAGTGAAGAAAGTCTGGCCCACAGGCTCTCTCAACCTCCCTGGGCCATCAAGGACAATCCCATGTAGTGATGGAGAGGATCCAACCCTTTTACCCCTACAGGAACCCTCTCACCTCAGGGGAGACAGGTTCAGGTTCTACCCCTCTGCCCTATTGCTCCCCTTGGGAAACTAGAGCCCCAAAGATAAGAGAAGGCATTCCCTCTATACAGTGAGCCAGAGCCCAGCCAGAGCCCAGCTAGGATAGTTCTGCCAGATAATTCCCCAAGAGGCAGAGCCAGAGTCCAAAAAGCGAGGAACCAACACCTGTTGTTTTATAGCACCCTTCCCTGCAGGAGGAGACAGCCCTATTCCCTCACATTAGTATTGCTAATCCCAAGCATTCAAAAACCAAGAACCATGGCTCATTTACATGGTGCCACGCTAATTAGGTTGTAAATTCCAATGTTTACTAGCCCGTGTGGATCCTGCTGGGATGCACTGAAAGTTCCCTACTGCATGTTAACGTAGTACTGTTTGAAACAGGATTACATTAATACACACCACAGAACTTTCAGTGTGCACCAGCAGGGTCCACATGGATCAGTTAGTGCACAATATGCTCGTGTGCATTGGAATTTATATCCCTCCCAGCTATGCGTAGAGCCCTGCGGAGATACAAAAAAATTTGGATCTGCATCTGAGATAATTAACTTGTATCTGACCCACGATCTGCACTCCACTTTTTAATATGTATCCGCACCAGCACCCTGTCTTGTAATCTCATTGGTAGAGCCCTGCACAGATACAAACATTTGGATCAGTGATCAGCAAAGATGGTAAACAATACATCCGCAGATATCCACGGATTTGCAGGGCTATAGCTCTGCGGACTAAAGAACCGTGTAGACAAGCCCTCAGAAAAAAAAATTGTTTTCAAAAGCCTTTAGCCGGAAGTTTCCCATCCCCAAAGTGTATGTGATAATTTCACATTCAAAATACAACCTTAACATGCACATGCAGGGCCTGTGGCAAAGCCAGGGGTTGAGCAGTGAGCACTCCCCAGCACACTGGAAAGTTGGCGCCTGTAGCTCCAGCCCCAGAGTCGGTGCCTATACAAGGAGCCGCATATTAACTTCTGAAGAGCCGCATGTGGCTCCAGAGCCACAGGTTGGCCACCCCTGTTCTAGAGACATCGTTTGCTCCAGTCCCTGCTGCTGGGTCTTCAGAGAATCCTCCGTGGGCATGTCTAGCCTAGGAAAGAGAGTTTCTAGGGAGAATCCTCATATTGAACGCCCAGCGTTTAAACATTTGTAAAGCTGTTCATTCCTGTCTATTAGATGCTAAGTGGTATTTAAAAAAGTGTTAATTCAAACATGTTAGCTAATGTTTTAAAAACCACCCCTTTTTTTTCCTGATCTAAAGGGCCTGTGTAGGCTGTGCATGGGGATGATTGACAAAAGTCTGGGGAATGTTACCTACAACCCCCACATAACCTCAACAGAAGCAGCACTGCATCCTCAGTGCTATACTAATGCTCTTGGCTGCACCTACCCATGCCAGTCTAGTGTGGTTCTTGGATCTGTACTCACTGACCCTCTGACCCCATCGCCCCTCCATGCTGTGCATTCGCCCACGGAGCACAACACTGGATTATGCAAGGTGCATGGACACTGATGCTGCCTACCTGTATCCTAGCTCTGGCTCAGTGTAGTGGCCTTTATTGGAGTTACAGGATTTGGTTCATTGTAGCTGCCATGCAGAAGTGAGAAAAGCTTGTCCTACCTGGTAATTTAAGGCACAGATGGGAAGACATCAGTTGTGATGGAACCATGACCATGTTGAATTGTCAGTTGCTAGGCAATATGGATCTTCACCAACTGTCCCTTGTTCCAAAGTCCTTGGGCAAACATTCCTTTGTTTTTTCTCTCTACCACTGAAATTTGGCTTGGGCATCACACACATAGATCCCCCGCCCCAGAAAATACAGCACTGCCGAGGCTCAGGTGTGTAGTGTTTTCATATTGTTAAGATATTTTTCTTGTAAAAGACTTTCACTTCCAGCCCCCCTATTATTATTTATTTGTACTGTATTAGCACCTACGAGCCCCAGTCCTAGACCAGGATCCTAGTGGAGAAGGAACTATACAAACACAGATTTAAAAAACAGACCCTACCCCAAGGAGTTTAGAGGAAAGATAGATTTTTTTTAAAACCAGGCTTGAGTACTGTTAGAAATTTTAGATCAGCTTTTGGAGAGAAGGCATTTTAATCAAATAATATTCTGTAAACTACCTATGAGCTATTTAGATGCGTCTAATAGTAACATTGTTTTAGATAAGAAACTATGTTCTTTCCAACAAATGTCCTTTAAGTTCTCACATTTTATGCACTGGCAGTTTTGACAAGATCAAGGGATTTGAGCCTTGGTTTTTTGGCACTATTTAAATTTAGGTAATTATTACAGCTAGAATAATTCTATGAATATATACTGCATTAAAAAAAGTTAACCCTCTGGCTACATTTGCTTTTTCAAAATACTCTAGCAAACAAGTTCTGGCATGGATATTTGCTGACTCCATGACTTTTTAGTGAATATTGGAGAATATCCAGAGGAAAGGAATTATGAATTCATAGAAAACAGATATGCATCAGAAACCTTTAAAGATTATGTTCATCCAATCATGGAGCAGAAAAAAATACCATGTGACCTATGTGTCCAATAGTCCTTAAATATTTTTTGAATATAAAATATAAATTGTAAATACGCTACAAGCCAAGAATTTTTTAAATCTTAAGATTTTCTCAAATTTATTCAATGATTAAGCTGCTCACCAACAATTCAGAAGAGGCAAAATTAACTAAATAAATGATTCAACAACTAATAATTTGTCCAGCTCTAGGAACTATATTCTGCCTAAGTTTTCCCTGCAGTTTCAATTGACTTTTTTGTATGTGAGACTCCATCTGAAGATTTTAAAGTATTGTTAATTAATATGTTATTAGACTTCTAAGGCTTGATTCTAAACTCACTCTGGTTTTACACTGGTCTTATTCCACTGACTTCAGGGAAGATCTTCCTGAATTACTCCTGTGTAAATTAGATTGGAATCAGGCACCTTGGATTTTTTTGTTTGTTCCTAGGATAAGAAAATCTGTAGTTTAATAGTTTATTTATATTTTTATCTGTAAAAAACAGATACAGGGTAAATGTTTCAAACGTGCCTAAGTGACTTAGGAGTGTAAGCCCCATTTTCAAATCTAAGACACTTTTGCCAGTATAAGCTGTGTCCACATTGGGAGTGCTTTCCTGGTATACCATACTAGTATACCTTCATCTGCAAAGAACTCATAGGCAATATCTGCACTACAGACCCTATGTCATTATAGCTATGCCAACATAGCCTCCTAGTGTAGATGCAGCATATACTGACAGAAGGCCTTAGGCCTTGTCTTCACTTGCAAGCTATTACAGCAAATGCTTCTAGTGGAGACGTAGTTTATATAGCCAAAAGCGTGCTTTTGCCAATACAGCTTATACCAGTTCCCTGAATAAAATAAGCTATACTGGCAAATGGACATTTTTACTGGTATAACTGCATCTGCAGTAAGGCATTTGGTGGCATAGTGATGTCTGTCAGGGTATGATTTTTTACCACACTAGTAACAGACATCGCTATGCCAGCAAAACTTTTAAGTGTAGACCAAGCCGTAGGCTCCTAAATCAGTTAAATTCATGAACATTTTCTCACAGATTTTAATCTGATTTAGCCAAATTCTGCCCTTGACTTTGTGTGTGTGGTTCTCATTGAAGTTTGGGGAGTCCCCTATGTTCATCCGAAGACACAATCTTTAAAGCTGAAGAAAATACAAGACTTGATTCTGCTCTGATTGGCTTTTCACCATTGTTACTCCACTGACTTCAGACTTACTCCCGATTTCCACCAGCAAAGCAAAGTCAGAATCAGGCTGTTTGTCACTGTGGACACGTCTTAAATTTCACTTCCATGGCAAGCGGACAGAGCCAAAGATTCTGTTTACATGAGGATTTGTTTGCTTTTTTACTAGGAATTCTGCTTATAAGAGACACCCACCTAGATACAATGGGTGACGCAGAGAAAAAGCGCCTGATTGAACTGAACATGACAAGGGACCCCTTGTGTATGGTGGAAGGAAAAAGTGACTCAACCTGGCTCAGACCTCAGAGGAGACACTTCCCTCAAAGTAATCGAAGTTCACTAGAGAACTACAGAGAAAAAGAGCCTGCGCTTGACACTGGCAGGAGCTCCTGGACAGCACTCACTCCTCTTCACCACAAGGAGAGAAGGCACTTTCCAGAAAGAAGTAAGTTATATGCATTACAGAGAAAAAACACCTGGGGCCAAATTCATCCCTGGTGTAGCTCCATTGACCTCAGTGAATTTAGACCAGAGATTAATTTGGCCCACTATGACCACCGGAATATGAGGTTACAGGATAAATGTCTTCAGCTGCCACACTGGTACAGGACGAACCTCTCTAATCCAGCACTCCCTGGTCGGCAACATTCTTGGTCCGGCATAGGCACTGACTCAGTGGGTAGTCAGGGGCTGGAGCACCCACGGGGGAAAATGAGTGGGTGCGCTGCATCCACTGGTGCCAAGCTCCCCCCCCTCTGCCCCCTTCTCCCCGTGCCTCTCGCGCGCCGGTGGCTCCGTGCTTACAAACTCTTCCTCCTCCCTCCCAGCACTTCCAGAGCACCACAAACAGCTGATTCATGGCATTCAAGCTCTGGGAGGGAGGGGGAGGACCTGGGGCCGGCAGCTGGGACCCTGGGCGAGGGGCTGGGATCTGGGGTTGGCATCAGAGCCCCGGGGCGGGGGCCATGCTACACTACGTACAGTAACTTTATAAAGTGCTTTGAGATTCTTTGGGATGAAATGGGTGTTGTTCCATAAATGATTACACCACAAATAATATTTTCCTTTTCTGGGATGGAGGAGAACAAAACCTATTGGTTATTCACTGCCCGTACATTTCATTAACACGGAGTTGAGATTGACTGACAGCGTCTCATACTCTTCTAGAACAATCAAGGGGACCTATACTTAAATCTCTGAAAACCAGGAAATAAAGAGGTATGGTACACACCAACCCCACCCGCAATCTTACCTCTGTCTTCAAGCAATGCCCCAACACACCAGTAACACACACACTAGCATTCTACCCTTACAGGTGCTCAAGAACGCTTTGGGAACAGCACTATACAACAGAGCACTATAAAACAGAGACAAACACCTTTTTGTTAAGGCAAAACTCAAGTTAGGTCTCGTTTAGCAAACAGGAGTTCCCTGTACTTGGTCTATATCCAAATACTAAGTCTACTCTACACAGATGACCCCAGACTTGCAAAATGTTACTATCGGTTCACCCTTGCCTAAGGCTTCCTTGTGAGACATTGCCTTCGCTTACCCCTCACTAAGACCCAGAGACTGCTGACATGCATGCCACCAGACTGCTGACAGTCTCCATGGCAAGGAGACATTTTGTGCACTTCTACTAATACAACCTACACAACTGAGCACTGAAATGTAGCATGCTTGATCCTTCAAGATACAGGTAAGGGTACAAGGTACTCCTCATATCAGTGACAGCTCTGGCAACCTGCTCCAACTAATCTTTCTGCCATTCTGTACAGCTACAGCTAACAGTGAATGGCGGTTGGAATGCATGCAGATAAATGATGCAGTGAAAATCTGTGGAACACAAGACAATGGCACATTCTTTTAGTCATGCCTCATGTCTACTTTAGTTCTGGTAACACCCTTTACTGAATCATTCCCAGCAGCTATTGTCAGCTCAGGAACACGAGGTGGAATGATAACCACTTATATTAATACTACAAATTCTGCTTTCACTTGCTCATTAGTCAGGCAGTTCTTATTAACACTATTCAATTGCAGACAATGTAAGACTAGAACTCATGGTCTCCTAGTTCTTAGGGCACTTTCTCCAAGGACAAAGTGGATTTTGATGGGGTGGGAGGAAACATGGATCCTCCTTCTCCTTTTGTCTGTGTCCCATCTGGAGGTTCAGTTGTGTGTGGGGCTCTGTTTCAGAACAAGAAAGGAGGCTAGGTTGGAGTTAGGAGCATGTGAAGTGCATTTGGAGTGTTCAGGGTTTGAAGGGATAAGAGCTGAACAAGTTCCAGCGTACATGTTCAAGCAGCCTTTTCCCCCCTAATGCTTATAAGTTGGCCACATTCCAATGGATTTTCATTGGGACAGCAAAAGGCACCTCTAACCTCGGAACTAGCCCTCTGCTAAATGTCAGGTTCCTGTTCCAAACCACAAGTACCAGAGATGTTTGGAAAAAAATCAAAAAATTAACACTTTAAAACAACCTATTTTTTGCTGAACTGTTTTTGCTCAAGCTTAAAAAATCCCAAACAACTGAATCTCAATCCAAGACCAAACACTGAAATTGTAACTCCAGACAGTTCAAGTTTGCCAGAGTTATAAAGCAACTGAAACGGCAACCTTATACATTCTGCTACTGCTCCTCCTCCTATAATATAAATATATATTACTAAGAGGAATCGATTTTCATAACTATTTTCAAACTTTACTTTTATCCTGCAGATAATGCCATTTTTGGATGAAGCACCACTTAAAAGCGGCCTTCTTGTTTGAGCTCAGGACATTTCACAAAATAAGGAGAAACTCAATATTACAGGGCTGCTTTTAAAATGCGTTTGGATATCTAACACTGGTAGTTAAGCTGTTTCAACAGTAGCTCAGTTCCCAATTAAACTCATTACTAACACTCTAAAGTACATTTTAAAAACAACATAATGTACTTTTCTTTCTCTTCATGAAACTTGAACCTCAGGACAAGACTCAGAAATGAACAAAAGTTGATTCACTGGAACTGCCTAAGACTCTACAATTTTGACCATGAAACCTACTGTTTATTCTAAACTGAATTAAAATTATAACTTTTATGCATGGTATGCAGATAGGATTTCCAGTTTATTTTATGTGTATTTCAAGCTGTACATTTCAGTCATTAGAGGTTAAATTTTAAAATTAATTTCCAAAGCATGTTTGTCCAAATTTAACTCCCTGTTACAGTTCTCAGCGCAAAGGAAAAATCTAAGCAGCAAAAATGGATTGGACAGCTAGTTCCCTCTATCTCTAAATGATTTTTTAAAATTTAACAACAAATTTGGGCAACATAATAGCTTTAAAACAAAACCCCTTAAATTTCATATTAGCTAAAAAAATCAGTTTTCTTCCTTGCTTATTTAAAAAAAAAGTGACAAAAACGTAGTGAAGAGCCACAGTATTTGTAGAATCCTGGACTAAGGGTGGGTGAGGAACAGATTGCTGACTGATGTAACCCTCCCTCTTCCTCCCACTCCCTCCCTGATCAGGAAGTTGATTGCCCAGCCCCCACACTACTCATCTGGTCACATATCACTTCCCACCTCCGTGGAGGGGTGTTTGGAGTATAAGTCATTGAATGGGGGGAGTGGGCAAATGTTGGGGGTTTCAGGCAATTGTCTGATCCATGAGGTGTAGAGCGAGGTAATCACTGGGGGGGTGGGGGAGAGTTGTCAGACAGTTATCTCTAAAACTACTTAGTTTGTATATAGCACGTCATCCATAGATAAGTATCATTATCCCATTTTACAAATTGGGAACTGGAGATACAGAAACATGAAGCGACTTGCCCCAGGTCACCCAGCTGGTCAGTGGCAGAGCTGGGAATAGCATCCACCTCTCCTCCCAGTCCACTGCCAGACCCACTGGACTGCACTACCTCCAAAAGGCATGAATTATAAAAATACTGCCGTCTTCTGATTGACCCAGTGGTCCACCTGCAGCTCAGGGGAAGCATCTACATTACAGTGGTACAGCTGCAGGGTAGATGTGGCCTGGTACAAAATTGATGGGAGGTCAGAAATTAGGCCTATTGCATTTTCTTATCAACACTAATTGGCAAACAAAGATTTCTGAAAGCAATCCTCTGTGGCTCTGGAAAGCACCAGCTAGGGGAATGCTGTGGTCTCAATATGCCAATATGATGCAAAAGTTTGGCTCAAATAGCAGAGAAAGGTGCAGAATTATAAGACGTGAGAGTCCAGATTCAGAAGATTCCTCTTTAAATACCAATGGAAATAAGCATTACTGGATTTTTTGATCTATATAAAAGGCATGGAAAGCTGCAGTCTTGTGGCTCTCTTATTTTCCATCAGCCTGCTCTCAAACTATTAATCGTAACTGATTTTCACCTCATCAACAGTAAAATAGCCTACCTGTATAAATACAATAGGTAAAACTTTATTGGGCTTTTTATTCTTTAAGATGTCATTTTGGTCATACAAAAATTCCACGTAGCATGAAATATGTATATGTACACTGTAAAAAAAAAAGTAATATAAAATAAAGCCCCAAACCACAAACTACAGAGCAGAGCTGTGTTTCGGATGCTCTCATTTTATTGTTGTTTGGCAAGTGTTCATTCTTTCAACCGCTGATGAACTTTGGGGAACAGCTTCAGGGCATTACATGTTGTTACTTCACAGACTGTTTCTACTGATAATCCTTTCACTGCAGCAATGTACTGACAAGCAATCCTGATCTTCTCTGGTTCATTTCTCTCCTAAAAGAAAATTGCCAACAAGGTTACACTATACAAGAAACCAAGTGAGATCAGCCTAGCTTACCCAGGACCCATAGGACTGAGTCCCTCCCTTCCGTTAATTACTTCAAAAAGGTCACCACTGGCATTTACAAATCTTAAATCACAACTAGGCTCTATGATAAGTTAGATGGAAGAGTCAGCCTGATACTGTGCAGTTTTGGATCTGACACGACCATAGTTCTATGGCAATTTCATTATATTTTAAAGACAACAGCTGGATCAAGCTCAAGAAATTCTACTTCTTTTGTTGCTGAGAAAGAATAAATATTCAGCAACAGTTTGAAGTTCCTGAAACTTCTCTGTGGAGATTATCAGCAGGAAGAAAGCTGTGTTCTTTGAAGTTCTATATATATCAGCCTTGATCCTGCAAGATGTCGAGTGCTTAACTAAAACCCATGCGACTTATTTATTTATTTAAAGTAATAAAAACAATACCTAACCAAGGCTTGAGGCACTCTGACATCACTGATGCTACAATAAAATCCCAGCAGCATTAAGAAATCATTTCACAGGAACTCAGGCAGCCAGAGTCCAGAAACTCCTTTCCACTCGTTTATTGCTGCGGGAACCAAAACCTCAACCCTCTCCAAAAACCTCATAAAAAACACCTGTTTGAAGAATGGCCAGAACGTCACCAAATTTGGACTATTTAGGGGAGTTAGTTCCAGAGTCCTGGAGCTCTCAGACAGATGCTCTTTCTTTTATAATGAGGGGAGATCCACCTCAAATGTCCCTGCTCACCACAGCTGTTGCAGTGTGGCACAGGGAAAGAGCCAATCCTCCAAGCAGGCCTGTCCCAGGCCATTAATGGCTTTATAGGTCATAACGAAAACCTTAAACTCCACCCGGAGACTAACAGACAGCCAGTGCAGATCCTGGAGTCATATGCTTCTGGTAAGATGCCCCATGCAGTACCTAACATCTCAACTGCCACCGAAGTCAACATGGACTCACAACACACAACATGTTCAAGCATTGCTCAGCACCTTGCGGGCTCTAATCTATTAAAGAGACATTTTCATGTTGATTTCAAAAATTTAAAAAAAACAAACAAACTAAAATGTGGGTTTTGTTTGAGTGTAAACATTCCTGTGCAGTTTGGTATCCTGAACACTGGCTCTCATGCACTAGCACAAAATGGCAGAACGAGAAACTGACTAGTCTGTTTTCCAAGCTAAATGTAGTGCCAAATGTACACAGACAGCATTAGTGATGACAAATTAGATTTCTAAAATTTGTAGTGTTAATTACCTGTGATGGTGGTAACAATACAAAGAAGGAAACAATTATTTTAATGATCTGATTTCACATGACAGTGCCCCTTTGAGCTCAGAGGCGCCCGGGGGTGGTGTTTGAGATCTAGGTTAAACTATGTATTTCTTAGTGTGTGTCAATGGAGTGACAGCAATGTAAACCCAGTGAGATAGCAAAATTAACCCTACAGTACAGTGGTTTTCAAACTTTTTTTCTGGGGACCCAGTTGAAGAAAATTGTTGATGCCCATGACCCTATGGAACTGGGGATGAGGGATTTGGGGTGTGGGAGGAGCTCAGAGCTGGGGCAGAGGGTTGGGGTGCAGGAGGGGGTCAGGGCTCTAGGCTGGGGATGCAGGTTCTGGGGTGGGGAAGGGATGAGGGGCTTGGGGTGCAGGAAAGGGGTTCCAGGTTTGGGGGGGCTCAGGGCTGGGGCGCAGACTTACCTCTGGCGGTTCCTAGTCAGTGGCACAGCCAGGTACAGAGGCAGGCTTCTCGCCTGTCCTAGGACCACGGACGGCACTGCACCCCAGAAGCATCTAGCAACAGGTCCGGCTCCTAGGCAGAGGTTTGCGAGCGGCTTCGCGCAACTCTCACCCACAGGTACCGCCCCCCGACCCCCCCAGCTCTCATTGGCCGGAAACCAGCCAATGGGAGTTCAAAGCCGGTGCTCGGGGTGGGGGCAGTTTGCAGAGCCCCGTGGCCCCCCTGCTGGCCGCTTCTGGGGCACAGCGCGGTGTCAGAAAAGGTAGGCACTATGCTGCCTTAGTTGGGAAGCACCGTCGACAGGACTTTTAATGTCCTGGTCGGCAGTGCTGACCAGAGCTACCCAGCACCTTACGTGCCGTGACCCATGGTTTGAAAAATATTGCTGTAGTATATGCACCAAGAAATATTTTTCTCTCCTGACATTCTTTTGGCTTTTCTTTTTTAATGTGAGGGAAGGGACCTCTCTTTGCATCTTGCATATGGCTAGTAGTCAGGGCATTAGAGAGCATGAACCCCAAATGCATTAGAGTGCATGAACCCTAACAGTCAGTCACTTCATTTCTAAAATGCAGGTTGGAAGGGTTTAGGATTTAAACTAGTAAGCTACATACTTTACTTACTGTACCTCTTTCTTTGGGCCAAGAGAGGGTGAGTTGGTCTCCAAGCAAATGTTCTCTAGTGGAATCTGTCTTATTAACTTTGCTCGCTTGTAAAGACAGGAGAATAAAACAAGAAACAACACAGGTAAGAGTCCGTTCTCGTCGCACTAATCAATATAGAAAGGAGCACACTATACATTTACACACACAAAATCAGTTAATGGCTAACAAGTCTGACTTATTGGCATTTAATAGGCTGTTTAAGCCACTGGGAATAATCCTATGCCTCCAGTGAGCTGCAAACACAAAGGTTAAGCAGAGTATACTTGCCCATCAGAGCCTCTACCACACTACAAGGATTGTGAATATTCATCCCCCTCAAATGTCTGTTAATCTTTTCTAAATGCAAGCTGTCTTTAACATTCTATTAAGTACATCCACTCACCGAATGACACGTTACTGTGGTTGGGAAAGACAGTACAACAGCCAGCCAGGTGCTGGGCTGGTGTTGTAGGAGACCCACAGTCAAGAACATCCTGTGGACTCCTGTTCTCCTAACCATTAAACTAATGACTTCAGGTAGATGGGGTGGGTTGTGGTTTTCTCTCTCTTTGTCTAGGCAGTTACAGCATGCTCACTGCCATGGTATCCGAGCCCCTCTCAGGGCTGGTGTGAAAGGTAAAGGGATTCACTCCACCAGAAGATCAGAGAAAGGACAATGGGGCAGATGGTAGCTTGGACGTGGGAGGGCTCAGTGTCTCGGCACAAGAATTGGTCATTTGGTGTAGGAATCAATAAGTTAACAGCCTTGTGATTCCTTGGATGCTTGGGCCCAATCGTCCAGCTGAGAGGCACTGGCATGACTCATTCAGTTAACACTGTGATCAGCCAGAAGGAGCATGGTTGTGAGCAAGTCAAGGCACTCTCCTCTCACCAAGTAGTTAGTTGTGCTGTCTCAGCAGCACTTTGAGCCCAAGTCAGCAGTGCAGCAAGGGACAAGGATAAATTCAGCTGGCACTACGTAGCAGGCCTGGGTATGAACAGGAAGAGATCTGGAAAACCCATTGTACAGAAATGAAAGATTAACTGCTTTACCGCTGCTGTACTAGGTGTATGGGGAGGAGGGGAATGAACCTCAAATCCTGCCTCAGGTACTTGACACAAGAAGGTAGGAATGAGCCATGCCAAGAGTAACTCCACTGGAGTGTCTTTGATGTAGAATATGTTTAAGTGAGATCAGAATGAGGCCCCTAGATGACAGCCTGCAAAGTCTGAGATTCTTTAGATAGGGTATGAATGTGATCCCACTTCCTGACCTTCAGCGTCCTGCCCCGCTCCGCCTCCCGAGGGGCTCTATGCTCTTAGACCCAGATCCACAAAGGTACATAAGCACCTAACCCCCTGACGTAGGCACCTCAGTCCCAATTTTATGCTCCATAAGACTCCCACCACACCCTGTGGGCACCTAAACTCAGGGAGGTGCACATCAAACTATCCCATAGTTCAGGGGTTAAAGCATTCTCCTGAGTGGTGGGGAGACCTCTGTTCAAATCCTTTCTCCCCTCTAGCAGAGGAGGGAATTAAACCCAGGTGTCCCACAACCCAAATGGGTGCTTTAACCACTGGGCTAAAAGTTATAAAGTGGGCCTGGGGGTGCCCTGGATTTTGCAAGGATTGAGCCAGGTACCTAACTCATTCTTACAAGAAATGACTTGCTGTAAGCATAGGCGCCAACTTCCGCTGGTGCCGGTGGGTGCTTGACCCCCCTCTGCCCCTGGTTCTGCCCCGACTCCACTCCTGCCCCACCCCCTCCCAGCCCTGCTCCGCCCCCATTCCAACCCCTTCCCCAAAGTCCCTGCCCCAATTCCACCCCCTCCCTGCCCATTGGACTCCTTCCCCAAATCCCCGCCCTGGCCCCACTTCTTCCCCGCCTCCTCTCCTGAGCGCACTGCATTCCCGCTCCACCCCCCCTCCCTCCCAGTGCTTGTTTAGGTGGCAAGTGCTGGGAGCTAGGGGAAGAAATGGGGATGCAGCACGCTCAGGGGAGGAGGCGGAGGTGAGGTGAGGTGGGGGGTGGGGAGGGGAGCTTGGCTGCCAGTGGGTACAGAGCACCCACTAATTTTTCTCCGTGGGTGCTCCAGCCCTGGAGCACCCACGGAGTTGGCGCCTTTGGCTGTAAGCACCTAAGTCATCAGCTGGCACCCCGGTGGCAGGGCATGGTGTATCAGGCTCTCATGCTTCAATGGCCCCAGCTGACAACCAGTCTGGTTCTGCAGTAGTCTGCGTCTTCTTGCGACTCAGCCCTCCAGCTGAGTCACCTAGACTCCCATCCCTTCTGGAGTAAGCCAATAGTCCCTCAAAACAGGAAAGCACAAAGTCTCATGGCTTCTATGCCAGGCCCTCGGCCCCCGTGTTGGACTCATCATTCCTGTCTCTTCCAATCTTCAAGCCTGTACTTCCCCTCTCGGTCTTGTGGGAGAGATAGGGGAATCCAGGCCCAGCCTCTCCTCTGGCTTCCTGCCCAGGGACCCTGTTTAGGTGGTTATGGGCTTGTTGTTCAATCCCTCGCCACTACCTTGGGTTGCCCCTACCTTTCCCTATTTGTCAGCACCTTCCATAGATATGGGAATACTGCCATGAATTTGTGGCTCCCCACAGCTTCTTCCCAGCTAGCTACTGAGGAGCTTCCTCAAAGTTGCTCCCAGCCTGTGAAATACAGCCCAGCTGCTGCTAAACAGTCCTTCCCATTTACCTCTTTCTGACAGGAGTCCCCCCAGCTCTCCTTCTTGGAGCTGGATTTGTGCTTAAGCTCACTGCAGGGCCTCAGCCACCTTCTCCTTCAGCTAGCTTCTTTTCCCCAGTTAGTCCCAGGCTCAGAGGATCCAGCAGGCCAGCCTTCTCCTGCTGATCTGCTCTCCTTCCTAGTCAGCCCCCAACTGAGCCATGTTCAGGCCTTTTAACTCCTCCCTCCAGGCTTGACACCTTTTGCAGGTGTAGTGGGGTAAGGCTGATGGCATCGGCTCTCATTAACCTCTTCAGCTCCAGTGTGAGTTTGTTACACCCTCTCACAGGCCCTAAGCCACCTGACTCCAGGAGAGAGGTTGCCAGTTGTGGATGGCTAGCAGAGATAGGCGCATCCCTGCAGGCTGGACTTAGGTGCCTATCCCTGTGAGAGGAGCAAGTCTTAGGACACATCCCTCTCATTAGCATCCCCCATTGGCTATCTTAGGCAGCTCCCCACTTTGTGTGCTGGCTTTTGTGGATCCCATTCTAAGGCACTTGTCTCTCCCCAGTCAGTGTATAGGGAGTTGAGGCACCTAACTCAACTTTGTGAATCGCAGTGTTGTTCCTGTGATTTACTAGGCACCTAAGAGTTAGGCATTGCAATGCTCAGCCTCACAATGCCTAAGTCCCTTTGTGGATCCAAGCCTTAGGCCCTATCTATGCCAGAGTAATTCTCTGAAAATCTCCCACTGATGTTAACAGTGGTTCAGTTCCACTGGTGTTAGCAACACTGAGTGCCCTAGTGTAAATGGGCCACCAGATACTCAGCAGAGTCATATGACCATGTTAAAAACAGCATTGCTGGGACTGGTAACACTGGTAGAGCTCAACTGATCTTAGCAGCAAGTGCTACAGACCAGGCCTTTGATTGTAAAACTCCTGGCAGCAGGGACTGTCTCCCCCTATGTATTTGTATAGCGCTTATGTAACCCACACACCTTCTGGGTGTGGTGTTCTGTCCCATCTAGTGGCACCAAGACCACTTAGAGAGAAAGTGAGTTTGCTCTACAGCCTTAGCTAACAGCCAGTTGGCTTTTAGCTCATGAGGTAGAGGCTCATGCACTGAACTCCAGAGGCCCCAGGTTCGATCCCGCCCACCAACAACCAGGGTCTGTCGGCATTACACCTACCAGAACAAAGCCTCTAACTGGTGCTTAGGAGCATTACTGCAGCACAAACACCACCACTACCAATTCAGCTCACTTTGATTCTGCCTTTGGGCCAGATTTTGATCTCCCTTACACTGGCTGCACACTCATGCACCTTCACTGGTTTCAATGGACTCACTCCTGATTTACATCCTTGTAAGCAAGAGGGGAATTGTCTTTGTCTTCTTCTTGGAGAAGCAGCTTTTCACATTTTCTCTTGCCATCCTCCATCCCTGACCCTGTCCATGCACCATGCCACATCGCTTTCCTCCTTATTCTAACCCTTCTTCCAAACTCACAACAGTTAGTTAACCAAACCCAAATGTCAGGGATTTAAAACATCAGTGTGTAAAGATCGTTAATGCCATTAACCCCAAAAGGGTTTGTTAGGAACGCCAGCTCTAGCTCCATCATCATGTTCCAACCATCGTTCCCCAGCTAAGTGTTCTTCTATAGCCGTAGCCCCATCATTCCTCCACGCTGCAATATATTAAGTTAATTAATCCTCATTTTAAAAAACCCAACAAGAACTAAAAGGCCACATATGTTCCTCCCCGCATTCCTTGCTGAGCTATGGGTGATTTAGACTGTAAGCTTCCTGGAGCAGAGACTTGCCATTCTTCATTTGACTTTAATTCTGTCCTGATTATATATAAACAGAGAAAGTGTCTCTGAGGAAGTATGGGTATCACATGTGCCTATGACACACACTGGGCCCGATTCTCTTTTACACGAAGGCCCATCTACACGGGGTGACAGTGGGCCAGTACAGGCTAGTATGGTGTACCGGTAAGAAGCCAGTGCCCGACTGTACACAGCCCACGTTAAAGAGTTGTGGCAGCAGTGCTTTCACATGGCTGCCCCTTCCCCGTCAGCAGCCCTGCCGGTAGGGACCGCCAACGGGGAAGGCAGAAGGGGCAACGACATTAAAGCAGCGGCCAGAGCCCTGGGCCCTTTTAAATCGCCACCAGAGCCCCGGGAGGTGGGAGCCAGGCAGTGCGGATGGGGCTGGCTGGGAGAGACTGACCCACAGCCCCGCCCCTTCTGCCCGAGACCCCGCACCCTTCAGGGGCCAGAGCCGGCCCCCGTACTGGTAAGAATTTAATATTACTTTCACCCCTTCATCTACATTGCTCTGGAGGAGTAAATGTGCCCTAAAGGGGGTATAAATGTAGTTTACAGATGTTATGTACAAAGGCAATTTACTGCCAGAGTGGCATAAAGGGGCCTTGGTGGGCATGAGAATTCATGTCATTGTATGCATGTCCCCAGGGGCATCCTTGCCCTCTGCCTCACCCTACCCTCCCAAATACCATCCCCCAATACCTGAGCCAATGCAGAACGTCATTTCTCGCGCAGTCCAATTAAAACTATACTGAATCAGAGTCCATGAACTTTCCAGGGACTTACCTGATCATTCCTTGTGACAGCTGGAGGAAAAGAAAAGCAAAAGCCAGCTTGTACTCCTTCCAGGGCAACAGAGGGTCTGCCAGCAAAGTTATGAAGCAGTGCGTTCCAAATACCTGCACCACATAGAAGAAACCCCAAAAGCCTAAAGACACTAAAGCTAGGCTGTACGAGTTTAACAGCACCACAGTAAAGATTTGTATCATGAACGTTTTTTTTCTGTTTTAATTGTAAGAGACTTTAGTGCTGGCTCTCAGTCCTGAAGTCCTTTATTTATCCACAGGCAAAATATGCATCAACCATGGCTTTGTAGGATCCCTCCCTGACGAGTGAGAACATAATTGATTTCACCTGTGACCTCTCTGCTGGGCCTGCCAACAAAGGTGCAGACTCTGATTCCCATGTATCCACTGGGAACCGGACCAAGACCACCAAATTCACTTCATATCAACACCAGAGAGCTGTCAGTGGTAACAATTTTCAGTTGGCATCTGCCGGGGCCAAACTGGAACCTGTAATTAGAGGTGAAAGGCTCCACAGTCAATTACCTACCTCCGCAGCCTTTCTGTCCCTCAGCAGCTTATTTCTGTCCTGCTATCATTAATTGTGTTTGTAATATGCACAGAGATGTAGATAAGTAAATATTTTAAACATAGTCTAATTGTATCTTTCTTCACAACATAGGCCAAATTTCAATCTACAGATCTCCTGGAAACAAATCATAAAGAGAAATAAAGCTATCTGGACACCGTACTCTTCTTGCTTCCATTCAAAGAGTGTAGTGGAAGCTGATGCTGAGACAAAGGCTGCTTTGATTCACTCACAAAAAAAGTTACAATAAAAAAAAGAAACAATTCTGTTTCATCAGAGGTTTTCCACTCTGCAGAAACTGTCACTCCTTGAGCATAATACGTAAACTTGGCAGCTCCACAGCATCTTCCACTCATAGTTTCCAAACTTTAATGAATGGAGTTCTAGGACACACACGTGAGGTAGGGAAGCATTATTAGCTCCATTTTACAAACAGGTAAACTGAGGTAAAGGACTCACTTTTCTTCCCAGTTACAAAGGTAAATCAATTGAATTACACCAGCATCTAACTGGTGTAAGAGCAGAAACAGGCCCAGAGAGCAGTTAAGGATTTCTTCGTGCAACAACAATCAGTACTGGTTATAAGGGTTTGATCAGAATGGAAAGCGAGACTTACCTTGCTCCTTAAGAAAAGCAATAGTTTGTCTCCCAGCCGAACGAGAATGCACGTTTCTGGTCATTACAAAAAACATACTTCAGAGAAGCAGAGAAACACTGGTGTTTTTTTTAATATAAAGTGATTTCTTTTTAGAAAATAAGCTCTCTCTCTTAAGGAGAAAACATTACTGTTCAGGAAAACAAGAGTTACAACTGGCACTGCTGGCAAAGTGAAGAGATTTGGTTCTATTCTGAAAAAACAGCTATAGAAAAACGGCACCTTCTTCCTCACCAGGTCTGCACCTCGTGTGTATTTAGAGTCAGATCTGCTGAATTTAGTGACAAAAATAAGGTGTTACTCTTGTTTGCCATGCAGAGCCAACACAGCTAAGGGAGAGCAAGCTGGATTCCTTTCCTCCTACTGCATCATCATCAGAACTATTTACTTAGTACCAACCAGTTTCACTGACATAAACTGAATGAAGACAATGACACTGCACAGTCACTGAGGGCTTCATGTGACCTGCAGAACGTTTATTAGTGGCGCTGATGCAAAGAAGAAAAGAACCCAGCTTGGTTTTCAAGTCAAGGGTTGAATCTGAGGGCTGGCAGCTGAGGGGGGGGAGGGGGGGCAAATCTTTTCACTGGTAAACTAAACACATTTGTTCTGGAAATCACTGGAAGACAATAAACACGGCACCCTACCACACAAAAGTTACTTTCATTGAAACAAAGAAAGAATTACAAACCAAGAGATTTTGTTCTCCATCCCCATTTTTTAAAGTTCCTACCATTTGGGGGCAAAATGGGGTGAGGGGTACACGTGGTTTAAAGTTCTCCTTTGCACTGCCCCAGTGCTGGTGCTGCTCTGTCCAGGCCATTATCCCTAACCTGAAAAGCTAAAAGGGGCCAGAAACAGTAGTCCAGGATAATCATGGCACAGAGGCATTCTAGAGTCTCTCCCCACTCCTTTCTCCAGCCATGCCCCCTTTTATCTGCTAAGTCAGCTGCAAGGGGATCAAGTACAACAAGTTGGTATTACACCACCCGAGGGCCCCCCCCGGCACTTGACGAGCCTCCCTGGGCCATTTAAACTGGCTTTATGACCACAATATGCTGGAGGTGCAGTGCAAAGTGGCCATGTTGCACCAAAGGATATGGTCTTTTACTTTTTGAAATATTTTCTTTTAAATTATCACTGCTGACCACGTTTTTTCCAACCCCTTCTTCCTGTCCTCATTTCCCCTCCTCTGTCTGAATTTTAAGAACCAATTGTTTTGATCGGATTTGTTTGTATTCTCCTGTACAGTGCCCCAAGCACCTTGGGAGAGGTACTTGATACATATAATTATCCCCCTCTCCTCCTCGGATGTGGGGTTTGCATGTTGAATACCTGTTGATAGTTAGGAGAATTACACATATAGGGAGAAGAGAATAAAGTAATATGGTCTTTGTCTTCCTGTTTCCTGATGCTGAACTCGATATCATCAAATTAAATATAAAAATCTCAGTTTATTTTAATAATACTCTTATTTCCCCCCTAAATGTTCACTTATCAAGTACAGTGGAAAACCACCTATCTCATGGAATAGAGAGTTCTGGGAGAGATGCTGATTTCATTCATGCCAGTGTAACTCCTCTGACACCGCTGGAGTTACACCCACATAACAGAGATCAGAATCTGAGCCATGGTCGTTATTCCAATAAAAGCTCTGGATTAGGGGGCGAGTTTTCCAATGTAAATGACATACATAGAGGCATGAAACCTAAATTTGGACAACAAGGAGTTTAAATAAGAGGGTCTCTCTCTGCTGTGGTGGGTGCATGTGCCGAATCCTGCTCCCATCGAAGTCTGTGGCAAATCTCTCTCTGGTTGAAATCCTGGCCCTAATGAATTGTGGGGGAGCTTTGCCATTCATTTCAAGGGAACAGAATGTCATCCTGTGACTTAATTTGTGCAGAAGTGGGACATAAAATGATGCCTTGAAATAATACAAGTCTAACCCCCATCGAGTTTTATTTGGGGAGCATAGCTCAGTTCTTATCCAAAAGATGAAAAGTGTACACATGGAAAATACACCTCCTTTCAAAAACAATTCTTTCAGAAGAAATGCCAGCAAGTCTCCCACATTTTTAATGATGACTTAGCTAGAGAGGAACATTCATCAGCCCTAATCTCTTGACACAGGCTCTGGCTTCCCAGATGTAAGCCACCTTTTATTATTGTTATTTTTCTTTTTAACCTTAAACTATTGAATATTTTGACTAAAAATAATCCAAACAACCCATCATTATCAATATGCTTTACCGCCCCTCCTGCACTCCAGGAGCTGTGACTTAGGAAACAGGTGCTGAGCTTAGTTAAGATTTGATATATGAGGAAGACTTTGCTTGGAGGTGTTCTGACTCACACTGGCAGGTCCAGCTGTTTAGCTATATCCAGCTGTAACACAAAGACCTTCTGCTGCTCCTCACGTTGCTGGGATGTGGACACAAACCATGGAGTGAAGTCTAGACCAATCTGCAATGAGAATCAGTTAAGGGATGATACAAAGTTTATGAAATCTTAAGTAAACTTCAAAATGCATGGAGAATTAATGCTTTCAGTACATTAAACTTCAAATGCTGTAGGCTACTATGAGAAACCACTATAACTAAGACAAGATTAGAAGGCACTACAATCTCTATATAAGATCTTGTACCTGGGGGTACAGTAGTACATGAATGCAGAATAAACTATATTATATATAAGATAACACAAAAACGCTTTGCTAGGAAAAAATCTATAGCAGCTCAGCTAGTCTCCCTAGCACTGTCCTAGCTGCAGGATTCTAGCATATATTTGCGGACCATCTCCAATACTTATTCATAAAATGATCATGTGGGGCCTGATTCTAGTCTCACAATAAGAGAGGAGTTTGGGGTTTGTTGAATCTCAGCAAATATGATTTCTGTCTATAAAAAGAAACGTAAGCACCACAAACCACAGATTGCAATATATTGCACAGGCCTACCAGAGCAATGGCTGAGTCAAGAAAACCCTGATACTAATGAAATCAAATAAAGCACTCTACCTCTCCAATAGCCACCAGTTTATCTTTGTGCTTCTCAAAGAATGGAAGGGCAGGTTCCAAGTCCTGTAATAAACCAGCTACAGCTCACATGCTTCGTTAAAATACCAGTGGGGTAAAAGAGGTCCTGGCATGTCAATGAAATTGCAAAACAGGCATTAGTAGACCATGGTGAGGACAGAAATATAAGGCAGGTATTAAAATTATATACTGAATTGTCTACCAGCTACTGAATGTTTTAAGTACCCATTCTTTAAATAAGACTATAATTAAAAATTAAAAGAAAGCCCAGTCATTCTGCTGGGCTGCCCAGAGCCAGCCAGCCACACTACGTTGGAAAGTACAGGCTTGGGCTGGGGCTTGGCCATAATAGCCAGAAGATGTGTTGATTCAGCATATCTTCAAGGCAGCCTCAGATGGCAGGGCTCCTCTGGAAGTCCTGGGGGAAGTGTAAAGCTGCCCTCCACTGATGGAATCCCCAACAGGGACAGCAGTTGGAATAGCATGGGTCCTCCCCTGTGGATGAATGCCCCAGTATGCAACCTCTCCTGCTGCAATTTGCATCCCATGGGCCAGCAGAGATTAGTCAAGGCCACAGTTTGCAAAGTGCAAAAGCAGCTATATAAATAAAAGGCATCACTATTATCCCATAGGGCTTGCCTACATGGAAGTTAGTGCCCATAAGCTCGGGTCTGAATTTACCAGGGTGGATAAAATCAACGATTTAACTTAAAAAAAAAATCAGATTTTTTTGATAAAAGGTTTTTTCCCCAAAAAGCATGTCTAAAGATAGTTTTAATTAAGACACATTATAGTTCAAAGATATCTCATCATGGAATAGGGATTATAAATTCTAATTCTATAGTGTGAGACAATATATTCATGTAATGTTTAAAAAAAGTTTTGTAAATGAGTTCCAATAGTTCATGGATTAGGGACCCAATCTTATGGGGTTCCACAGGCTTCTGTATAGATTATTTAGGTTAATCTTTCTATCTACCCAATGGGACTCAGTGCTCAGTCTAGAAGATACCACCAGAGATGAGTAGTTTTGCAGTTCTCAAACTGTGGATTTGTGTCTCTGGAGGTAACATGCTTGTTAACAGCAAAAATGTTTTAAATAAATAAATATAGAGAGAGAGGTGAGAAATAAGACCTCAGCTCTATTGTCCCTCTTCAAATTTGTGTACACAGAGTCAATCCCTTACCTCTCTTTAAAAGTGCAAAGTTTCAAAAAGTTCAATGAATAGAAGATTGTTGGAGCGGAATAGATCTGGACAGGGAGAAGAAGTCCGGGGATAAATGTGAGAAGCGAGGGACAGATGCTTGTTTTGTTAAAATATGTGTTTGCTGTTGAAAAAAAAAATCCAGAATACTTAATGTTGTTGTTTTAGTTAAATAAAACAATTTAAATGTCTGTTTGGTGATGTTCTCCTCCTAATACAACATGGCAAGAAAATCCTCCAAATACTAATGATTAACCTGTTGAATTGGAGATAGTTCAATGACTTCATAAATATCTGCTTCAATTACCTTTGGTAAATGAAATAACCAAACAATCATTCATTTTCTGATATAGCTGTGAAACTCATCTGAAAAGTTTTCAAAATAAATCAGTTTAAAAATGTATAGTGGGTACCTTCTAAAAATGAAACCTACATCTATCTCTGAGTTGTGAAGAATATGTATTACAGTTCTAACAACCAACAAGATTGCACTTTTATGTAGAAACCCATGATTAAATCGAGTCTTCCTGACTATTTTTTAAATCAAATCCGGCCTGGACTTTACAGTGCACTAGCTGCTCCACAGTAACTTCCCCTATGGACCCACTGTGCACTTCAGTACCTTTGTGCACTTCAGCTTTTTTTGGTCCAGTAAAAGGTATTCCCCACCTTGCCCCTCTAATATCCTAGGACCGCACAGCTAAGACTGCACTGCACAGGGAACTATGACCATCATGATCACACAGCACCCTCTGGAGGCCACTGAAGGAACTGCCTTCATGTCTATTGACAAGGTGCTGTGGTGATGGCTTATGCAAAAAGCTAAGATTTTGTCACAGTTATTTTTAGTAAAAGTTGCAAGCAGGTCACAGGCTTCTGTGGATTTTTGTTTACTGCTCGTGACCTGTCCCTGACTTTTACTAAGAATAACTGACAAAATGGGTAGGAAGGAGGGTCTAGCATCAACCACTTCTGGCGCTCCAAGGTTCTCCCTGCTGCCTTGTGCCTCAGAGCTGTAGGGGAGCCTGTCACCAGCAGCAGCTGAGAGCTGTGGGGAGCTGCAGGGCCCCTGCCGGCTGACAGCTCCAGCCCCGCTGCTGAAGTGGAAAATGTCACGGAGGTTTCTGGAAGTTACTGATTCAGTGACTTCTGTGACCTCCATGACAAAATCTTAGCCGTACTAAGTTATGCATCAAGGAAGAAAAACAGGATAAAAATCATAAAATAAATGGGCCCTTGCTTGAAGTCTCCTTAAATAGCTTTTATCATCTGCTTCAAATCCTGCACCTAACCTATTTCCAAGATCTCACCACATTTGCTAATTTTTTTACTTGTTGCTTCATCTCCAAAAAAGGCAAAAAAACCTGTAATAACTCCGAGGCCAGCCACGACTTCATAGCTGTCACCAGGTTGCACAGCAAGGGCACTCCGAACTTCACAGGAAAGGAACTCAGACCTTCCTGCTCTGAAAGCACAGACCCTTACTCCTTAAAGGAGAGCTCCCTCCAGTTGTTAACTAAGTAGGGCCTATGCACATATCTGATGCCATCTAACAGAAAGCAGTATCAGACATACACACTAGCCAGTTTTCCCCCCAATAAATTGGTGATAATTACATTATCTTTATTAGAGTTAGGCACAGAAGAGAAGTGTCCATATTCACCCATGTGACAGCTGTAGACACAACTGCTACCATGGCAGATTTCTGCTCTAAAGACTTGAAGAGCTACATAAGTGGAGTTACAAATGCCCATATGAAGAAATTCATTTGATTTAGCAAAATACAGGCATAGGAAGCTCGGCAAGTCACCTGAACAGTAACACTGCGATGTCCATTTGCACTGCTCTGAATCGGATGAATCCCAAAACATGCCATGACAGACTCTGGATACCTTTAGGAGGGGGAAAACATGTCAATGGGATTAAAACATCTAGCTCAGCAGTGAGAGTAACATCATCCAGTGGCTATTTGGTGGCCTGTAGGCAATAAGTTAGTGGTCACAGCCAAGTTTCTAGCAGAGAGGTGTCCTCACTCAGGGAACACCCATCACAATCAGCACTGAGTTGTCATTCTTAGCAGAAACACCAAGGACTGAACAGATTGGGAAGATTGAAATACCCTTTCACCACTAGAGATGGGATGGTCTCTTAAAGGCCTGTCTACACACATTTTTGTACTGGTATAACTATGTGAGTTAGGAGTGTGATTAGTTAGTGATACCACTATGCCAGTACCACCCCTACTGTGGTCACAGCTACACGGATATAAAAGTGCCTTATACCAGTAGAGCTTATTCCCCTTCACATGTGTGAACGGCTACAGTGATATAAAGCTCCTTCATTCCTACACAAATACATCCACCCTCGTGGAGCTGCACCACTTTAACTCTAGCAGTATAATCAGAATGGTACAACTTGTGTGTGTAGACAAGGTGGGGCTGAGGCACTTTGATGAGGCAGAGGACATCTGCAATGCCACCCCCATGCTTTGTCCATTCTTAGGAGAAAGAGATGTCTCCAGGACTGCTCCTTTGCACACTCAGTTCATACATATGCAGGTGATCAATAATGTTTAACAATGAATACTTTACTTGATCTCTTGATATTTCTATGTTTTACATTTTGCTTTTTTTAAAAAACAAAGAAAAATACAATCTCTCTCTCCCACACACATGCACAAACATTATTTTTATAAAAGCAAAAGATACTCTTTGTTAGTCTGTTCCAGTTCTCCAGCTCTCTGCCATGGTGAGTCAAAAACAACCCTCAGGCTCATTTGTATGCAATCACCCTGTTTAAAGAGGCCATATTGCAGTCCATTCTCCCTTAGAATTAGAAGAGGAGAGAATTAAGACATGTTACTTCCCCTCTCCACAAAGCACTCATGGAAGAATAAATATATCTTGATTTTAGGTTCTCACCTCTGTAGGATATATGGTCCATTCCCCTGCCTTACAACAGAAACAGCTTGCTATTCAGCATGTACCCCTCCAATTAAAGGCAAAATCCTGCTCTTATATTCATATGTTCAGCTCCCATGGAAAGCCCTGTACAGTATAGTCTTAATTTCAAGTATATAGTCAACTTTGCCTTAAACTCCTTTATGCCATCACCTCACTCATCATATGGCTGACGTCCACACTTCAGCAACTCTATGTGATGAAACCCTTCATAATATCTAGACCAAATGTTACAACTTCGAAACAAGCTGCTATCTTGGAGGAGTGAAGAGGATATCTCCCGCATCCTCATTCACCTTTAGACACCTGAAGATCATTACAATATCACCTCTTTGTTTCTTCTTTTTCAGGCTAAACATGTTTACATTTTTGTCAGCTGACACACATGCAAGGCCAAGATTCTGTCTCATTGCCTTCCCCAGTACTCACCCTGTAATCTGGATATCCTTTTTTAAATGAGATGCACAAAAGTTGCACATGATTCTAAGAACACCATTCGCAAGACCTTATGCGGCGAGATCCCTATAACCCAGTTGCTAGGGCACAGGACTGCGAGTTGCGCATGGGGTTTATCCTTGGCTCTGAGATGCAATCACTAGTCCTGATTCCCCAGTACCCTAGCTCCCTGTGTTGTCATTTACACGTGCACCAAGTGGGTGTGAAATGATACCAGATCAGAACAGTCGATTTACCCTGACCATGCACAGATGTAAATGACTATGCAGAGCCCGAGGCAGTGGAGAACCAGGCCCAACAGCATGATCGTGGCCAATTCAATTAATCTCTCTGTGTTTCAGTTTTTCTATCAGTAAAGTGAGGATAATGAGACCCATTCACCTCTGTCCAGAATCTGGAGAGCTAGATAAGACAAGTGCTATGGCAAGTGTTAAGTAGAGCGTTATTTCTTTGATCTAAAAGATGTCTTTTTACTGACACAAGGCATGCAGTGTGATAACAAACCTTTCTGCTAGATCAATAACTTCCTCAAATTCACTTTGCTGCTCTGTAACAGAAACAAAGGCTGGAACTCCAGCCTGGATTGAAGAAAAACAAACAAACAAAAACCCCTGTATTTGTTACTGGTGAAAGTTACACTTCCCTCCTGTTTTATGTATGTGTTTCCATTTATAAACGACTTAGCTAGGAACTGCTCTAGGAGCACATTCACTAAACTCACTTCAGTTAAATACATCATTAAATGAGTGGAGGAGAAAAAAATAAAGTAGTACCAAAATAAATGACTTCTCACCTATCCAACCATGCAGGATTGAACAATATATTAGCCACACTGCCTCTCTGCCCCTCCTAGTCCAACCCCATCTCAAAATCCTGAGGGAAGAGCTAATCCTTAATTTGCCCTAAAGTTCCACAGATTCAGGGCTTGTCTAGACTACCGCTTAAGTCGATGTAAATTACATTTGTAGGGGTGTGAAAAAACCACCCCCGAGCGACATAACTTACATCGACTTAAAGCCGTGTCTACGCTACGCTATGTTGATGGGAGATGCTCTTCTGTTGACTTAGCGCATCTTCACCAGATGCGCTAAATTGACCTTGCTGCATCGATGCAGTCATGGCCAATTTAACGTGGTAGTGAAGACAAATCCCAAAGCTCTGTTGGGCCAAGGAAGAAAGCAAGCTCCAGAGACTAGGGCCCCTTAATGAGAATACCCTGACGGTAGGCCCCTCTACCAAACCCTGACAGAATAAAGCATTCTTGATTGCTGTTCCTGCGCCCAGAATTTGGGGAGCCCAAATGATCTATGCTAATCCTTCCAGTTGCTTCACACGTACCCCTCCCAAGCCTTTCAGTTGCTTCACCACTCAGTATTACTGCAGTCTTGTCCAATTTGAGTCAGGCAACCAAACTGGCCAGCTGGATGGGATGCAATTACTGAAGATAATGACAGTCAGCCAAGACACTGCAATTCAAACGTCCTCCCTAGCCCTTCTAATGACCCTTTCTGCCCATTAAGTAGAGGAGTGGCAAGACAGAATAAAGTTCAGTGGGTATTTCATATTTGGCTCCACTAATAAATAAACAGATCAAAAAACCTCTACCACTTACAAATTGTGCCCACAAATAGTCTAACATGCTCAGGTTAGTGCTACCCCGTCCTCATGCCATCACCTGCGTGTTTGCTTTACCCACAAGTTACATCTTGTCTTGATCTAGGATCCTGCTCCTGCTACATCTGCAGCCCTCTGTGCCTGTGTAGAATCCCATTGACTATACTGCAGGATCGAGGCCTACAACTGTAAGCTGTTTGGCACAGGAGCGGTCTTTTAATACATGCTTGTCTAGAACCTAGCACAATGGGCAACAATCTAGTTGAGGCTTCAAAGTGCTCCTGTAATACATAATAAATAAATCCTAATAATGTCCTGAGTAATGAATAAGGGATTCTGGTGCAGAAAAAGTAATAATTTAAAATAAGTCACTAACCTTTCTTGATTTTTCAATCACATCATTTATGTCCTGCAAGACACAAATGATCAGTTATCATGCAAAGCACTGAGAGACCTGATTTTGTTACATTTAAGTGAGGGATGTGTAATGGGTTCCCCCCGGGGTGCCACCTGGAACTGAGGTATCACTGAGCCCCCCGACCAGGGCTGGCTCCAGCGTTTTTGCCGCCCCAAGCAGTGAAAAAAAACTCGCCGCCGAATTGCCGCCGCGGAAGGCAGGAGAGAGAAGCTGCCGCTGAATTACCGCCACAGAAACTCTGCCATCCCTTTCTGACTGCCGCCGCATTGCTGCCGCTGCGGAAACTCTGCCGCCCCTTTCTGACTGCTGCCCCAAGCAACTGCTTGGAACGTTGGTGCCTGGAGCCAGCCCTGCCCCTGACCCACCAGCCTTGGCTCCCTTTACACTGTACTGCTGTGGCCAGCCTGCACTTTCACCAGCACACATACAGATAGGGACACACCCAGCTGCAGTTATATGCAGACACTGTGATCAGCTCTGCATGGGAAGGCTCTAGCTGAGGAACTTTCCAGCTACGCAGGCACGCACTCCGCTCTGGGGTGTAAACCCAAAATTATACCATCTTTCGCTGCACAGGGAACTGTACAGCGTAAGCTCATAAAATTCGCCCCCTCCCTTAATGTGGAGAGGAATATACAAGAGCTTTCTGCCCCGAGTTATGACTCCCACACAAAGCAAAACCAACTTTAACAACTTCAAAAAATAGATTTTAAGTGATTATAAGGCATAGCAAACAGATCACCTAGCAAATAAACAAAACTGCAATCTAAGCTTAATAAACTATATAGATCAGATATGAATAGCAAATCCTCACCCTAAGTGATGGTACAAGAAGGCTGCAGACTCTTAAGGAGCAAGCTGCACTTGCTTACAGTTCTGAATCCCCCAGGCTAAATGGAGTTTAGCCTGCGTCCAGCACTTCCCCCAGTTCAGTCTTTGTTCCTCAGGTGTTTCCAGGTGTCTCTTTGGGTGGGGAGTCAGTGAAAAACCTCGATGATGTCACTCCCCTGTCTTAAATAGCCTTTGCATATGGCGGGAACCCTTTGTTTCAAAGCTTGGTTCCCACGCCAGTCAATGGAAAAACACTGATATCCCAAGATGGAGTCCAGCACCAGGTGACCTGGTCACACGTCCCTGTAGTGTCACTGAAGCCATGAGTTGGAGGCTGTCTACAGCATCCTCAGGAAGGCTCCCCAACGGGAGATAAGCTTCTTCTAAGGCCTATTGTTTTCTCCTAATGGCTCATTAACCTGAATGGACCCTTCCCAGCCAGCCATCTAGACTGAGAGCCTTTTGCCTAGTGGGCGTTCCCCAAGTGTAAACACATTTGTAATACAGATACATAGTCAATATTCCTAACTTCAGATACAAAAATGATACATGCAGACAAATAGGATAATCATACTCAGTAGATCATAACTTTTCCAATGACACCTCACTTGACTTATCTTGCATAAAACACATTATGTCATAATCATGTCATAACAACACTGCTGTGAAGAATGGGGCGGGGGGAGGCCGTGTCACAGGATGGTCTTGTGTTTAAGCTACCAGGCTGGGACTCAGGTCATCTAAGGTTCATTAGTGGCTCTGTCACAGACTTCCTGCATCACTTTGGGTAAGTCGTTTAACATTGTCCTTTCCATTTTATGTATGGGAAACCGAGTCCATGGCAATGTTTGCCTAGCTGATGGGGGGGGTTGTAAAATTAAATTATAAAATATTTTTCAAGTCCTGGGGTGGAAGGTGCTTGATAAGCGCAAAGTAGCATCATTATTATTTTACAAGAATTTGGTGGCATAGCCAGGAAGAGAAGCCAGGTCTTCTGACAGCACAGACATCCTCCCTTCCTCTCCCAACCGTCTTGAAAGCTAAACGTGGAACCCAACTACATCTGTGCTGACCCCTGATCCCCAGTCCTTCTCTTGACACTTTTGTGTATTACCTTGCTCAGATGCGGGGGCATTTCAAATCCTAATCTCACACAAGAAGGAGTCTGAGGCAGCCAAGACACCAATGGGTAACACTGAGTGCAGAAATTCAAATGGAGGTACTGGAGCCGACTTCAGCCCAGATTCAGCTACAGAGAACATCAACTATTGGGGGGGTGACACTTTGTACCCCAAAGCAACACTCTAGCACCCCCATATTTAACATGGTGATACAATTATGATATATTTTGTACAAAGTATGCCTTGTGAGGTATCATTTTAAAAGACTTGATCTTTTGAACATCAATATCAAGTTGGATTGGGTGTGCTGTCATTGTTTGTGAAGTTATGAAGTTTGCCATGCATGTTACTGAAGTATGTTGTAAGGTTGGGAATACACACAACCAGCCTTTCAGGTACAACAATGGGGCAGCCAGATACTGATGATGGCCCATGAAGGGGAATACACACTCACAAGGACTACCCCAGGAACTGTATACAGTGAAGACCTCTCAGAGGGAGCACAAAAAAAATGGATACTACTTGACTCACCATAGCAAAAGATCTTTCCAGAAAGCTGGAAGAACTTATAAAGGAGGGGAAGTAACATCATCATTTGTCTTCACTCCCCCCACAACTCAACACCTAGAAACATGTTTGGAGAACAAAGACTGAACTGGGTCCCAGGCTGAAGGGGATTTCCAGCCTGTGTGTGGAAGATCTAAGACCTACTTGTATTGTCGATCAGGGTGAGACACTGCTTGATTCAAATCCTGACTAGTTTACAGAACTCAGATTGCAATTTTTCTTTTTATTTCTTAGGTAACCAACTTTGATCTGTGCACTTACTACTTATAATCACTTAAAATTTATCTTTCTGTAGTTAATAAACCTGTTTTACCCTTTCCCTAAACAATGTGTTTTTGTTGAAGTACTTGGGGAATCTGCTCAGGAACAAAAACTGGTGCATGTCCTCTCCACCCTGAGGGAGGGGCAGACTGGGTAATAAACTTACACTGGCCAGGTTTCTGACCAGGGCAAGACAGTACAGCTCTGGGGTCCTAGGCTGGAGAGCTGTGGGGAATTGGCTGGAGTCTCGCTATTGTTGGTTCATGAGCGGCTGGCAAAAGCATTCATGTAACCCAGCTGGTTTGTCCCTGCCTGTGGATATCTGTGTTAAGTGCAGTATCTGGAGCAGTTTGCAGCTAATCACAGCATCACAGTGTGAGAGGGAGCCCAGGCTGGTAAGACAGAGGGCTCAGTGGTACACCAGTTCCAGGTTGCATGCCGTCACAGTGGGTGTATGGTTTCATAAGATTTGCTTACCTGACTTGTTTAAAGAACACTATTTCTTCAAGGAACACCCACCTCAATAATTTCAGCCTTCTGAAGCAAGAGCCCTGATGTTAGTAGCGTCACTGACAAGCAAATGAAGGAGAAGCCCAGATTCTCCCTCTATTTGGTTAACTCTGTAGCCACGTAGGCAGTGATAGTGATCCTTTTAATAGAGGGACACAGCAGTGACTACCAAACCACAGCACGTTCTATCTTGGTGTCACACACACACTTCCTTCCATTTGCCTCTAATGCCAGCAGCAATTTTCAGGTTAACACAACCGCTTTTTCAGAGTTAAATATAATTGCACAATGACAGAACATTCATGTTAGCTCACCAAGTTCATCCCCTGCAAGCACAGACTGTGGTCCCCAATAGAGGACGTAGCAGACATGAGAAACAGACCAAAAAGATTATTAACTAAAAGGCTAGGTGTAATCATTTCTTCCTAATCATACTTCTATTTCAATGGGACCTAGATTGAACAATGGATGCATCACATTTGTATTTACTTTGTCCTTGGGGGCATCAGGTCATTCATGCCATGACACAGAGTTTTTAATATTCGGGTCATTGGGGAGAATTACGATTGGCAGGTTATTTTGTTCTTCATCAGACGCACAGCTAATTGCATCTGCTACATTCGTTATCAGACCTTGTGTATTGGCACAGAGTAGAAACTCAGAGTTACGAACACCAGACCTATGAATGGACCGGTCAACCACACACCTCATTTGAAACCGGAAGTACACAATCAGGCAGCAGCAGAGACCAAACATGTTTTTAAAAAGTCAAGTACCACACACTACTGTGTTAAACGTAAGCTACTACAAATATAAAGGGAAAGTTTAAAAAAAATTTGACAAGGTAAGGAAACTTTCTGTGCTTGTTTCATTTAAATTAAGATAGTTAAAAACAGCAATTTTCTTCTGCGTAGTAAGGTTTCAAAACTGTATTAAGCCAATGTTCAGTTGTAAACTTTTGAAAGACCAACCATAACATTTTGTTCAGAGTTACGAACAATCTCCATTGGCAAGGTGTTTGTAACTCTGAGGTCCTACTGTATGTACCTTGGGAGACTGCACTTGTGTAACAAGTTTACAAATGTCTGGTTGCAGCTGTTTGTATCTAATGTTAACCTAGAGAGGCATGTCTACCCTTCTTATCTTACCCCAGCCTGGGTGGCTCTTTTTGGGTTTATCACACGACATGTCCCACATTCTACAGGACTGTCTGGATTTAATTAGGGCCACACAGCCCCCTAGAAGCAACTGCACCATCCCGCGAGTTATTTCAGAGTCCTAATGTGTCATCGTCTTGCAATCAGAACAGTGTTATGACACAAGCAAGACCTGAGGAAGAGCTCTGTGTAGCTTGAAAGTTTGTCTCGCTCACCAAGGGAACAGAGTAGCAGCCATGTTAGTCTGTATTCGCAAAAAGAAAAGGAGTACTTGTGGCACCTTAGAGACTAACCAATTTATTTGAGCATGAGCTTTCGTGAGCTACATGATGAAGTCATGATGATGAAGTGAGCTGTCGCTCACGAAAGCTTATGCTCAAATAAACTGGTTAGTCTCTAAGGTGCCACTAGTACTCCTTTTCTTTCCACCAAGGGAAGTTAGTCCAATAAAAGCTATTACCTCACCCACCTTGTCTCACAAACCAGTTTGTAAATTACAGAGCAGAGCAAAAGGAACCCTGCTCCTAATCCACCAAAAAGCTCCCTGAAGTGTATCCACCACGTCCGTGCTATAAATGGGGGTTCTGCCACGGACTCTAATGGGATCAGGAGCTTCTACAGAACATACACCAGGCTCAGTGACTACAAGCAGGTAGAGGGAATTCCATCACTAGCCTGGAAACAGCTGTTGTTGCAATCATACTTCGCATACCCAGGGCTGCAAGCCAAGCATAGGGCCTGTGTACAGAGTGCATCCGCTGCCTGCAGTCTTCAGTCCTACCTGCCTGAACTCCTCGGCCGTGAGGTGGCAATGACAATCGATGAACCAGCACGTCTCCATGTGCAAAGGCTGCTGAAGGCACCCTGAGCAGGCAAGGCCTGGGCTCCGCCTCTTGCGACTCTGACAGACAGCCGAAAGAGGCTGTGGCTCTTCCCAGGGCAGCGACTACAACCCCTCCCACTCGCCCTATGGCGAGCAGCCCAGCCTAGCCCGGGCACACAGCCGCCTAGCTATGGGGCAGAGGGAGCTCGCATCTGGTGAGCTCTTCCTCCGCACACACGTGCGGGCAGTTTTGCAGCATGGAGGCAGGAGTTCCAGCCCCAGCTCTGCACTACAGGAGTATTTACAAACGGTACGTTTGAGTTTCCGGGGGGAGGAGAGCGAACCCTGTTGTGTCTCCCCCTGGAGTCTCTTTCCAAACGATTACCATTTACTGAAGCTTCAGCAAAATGTAGCTGCAGGGACACTGGCATTTTAGAAATCACGTTTCTTACAATAATCAGTTTCGATGAGGCCAGGAATGTCCAGAAGCAGTGAATCTTGTTGTCGTCTTCTCAGTCAAACGATAGAAACTGAAGATTTTGAGTAGATGACACACTTTTTTTTTATACCTACACTTGTAGAATTAGCAATTTCTTCTGTGTTTTATAGGGGCTAATAATTACAGCCTTAGTCCTGAAGAAGTGGTGTTTTACCCACGAAAGCTTATGCTCAAATAAATCTGTTAGTCTTTAAGGTGCCACCAGACTCCTTGTTGTTTTTGTGGATACGGACTAACAGGGCTACCCCCTCAGCCTTAGTCCTGCAGACCCTAAGCATGTGCATACCTATGCTCATGGGATGAGGCCCATTGACATTAGGGACACCACTGATGAGTATTTACAGACATGCTGAAGCCTTTGCAGGATCAGGGCCCAGCATGTGTAATTTGATGTCATGCTATGTTTTCAGTATTGCCTACAGCGACACCATTAATTGTAAAAAGAAAAGGAGTACTTGTGGCACCTTAGAGACTAACCAATTTATTTGAGCATAAGCTTTCATGAGCTACAGCTCACTTCATCAGAGCTCACGAAAACTTATGCTCAAATAAATTGGTTAGTCTCTAAGGTGCCACAAGTCCTCCTTTTCTTTTTGCGAATACAGACTAACACGGCTGTTACTCTGAAACCTACCATTAATTGTGTTGAGTGTTTTATTCTTTGTTTATATGTAACTTTACCTTTTTTTTTTTTTAATAAAATCTTTCTTAGAATCATAGAACATCAGGGTTGGAAGAGACCTCAGGAGGTCTTCTAGTCCAACCCCCTGCTCAAAAGCAGGACCAATCCCCAATTTTTGCCCCCGCTCCCTAAATGGCCCCCTCAAGGATTCAGCTCACAACCGTGGGTTTAGCAGGCCAATGCTCAAACCACTGAACTATCCCTCCCCGTCAAACTCCTTGTTAGAATACAGCCTCTTGGACACAGTTTTTATATCATGGCCCTTTGAGTAAATTTTCTTTTTAACCAGAATAGTTTAATTGGTGCAATCCTTATTGTGGCTGCAGTTACACAAGGTGCATTTTACCAGTATGGCTTATTCCTCTTGCCATACACATTAGGCACTTTTATACTGGTATAGCTGCATGCACACTGAGGGGGAGTTATATCACTTTAACTATACTGCATCATTACAACTTGTGTGTGTAGACACAGCTTACTACTTATTGCAATTACTTCAAAATGTCATAAAATTTTTAAAAATCCTTTTTATATGACTAAAAATAACACGAGCTAATCAACCTGGATGAATTTTAAAATGTAATTTATCAGTCCTTAACTAAGATGTTTTTCTGTATTGCTCTCTGCGTAGACACTGATAACAGACTTTTCAGTGTATTTTTAGTTTATTGTCAATGTTCCATTCCTGGTTCGTCTGTATTGCCTGTGTCATTGTAAGTGTAACGAATTCTGAAGTTAGCTATCTCAGAACACGTAGGGCCCACTCCTTCACTTACTGAAATTTGTTTGCAACATTGGACTGTAATGACATCAAATGTAGGATATTTGTCATGTGTGTTAGTGCATACAGCACAAGGTGAATTAAATGGTGGGTCTCCGCCCTCACCCACATGCTTACATATCTATAGGAAAACATACAAAGACGGGGGGGCTGTTGTTTTTACAATTACCTCCAGAACATGTGTTTTGTTTAAAATGTTAAAGGAAATTTCATCCCATTAAGGATGGTTTAAAAAATTATTAGTAACTTCTAAAGTCTTGTTCTCAGATGCTCCATTAATAAAGGGCCCAATCGTTAGGCCCTCGACCTCCACGGAGTTCAATGGAAGTTGAGGAGGCTCACCATTGCCCAGGGTCAGTTTCAATGGCAATGGTCTGTAGGTACCTGATGGGGCACCCTCAACTAACTTAAAAATAAATAAATCGTATTTGTACCAGTTGCAAGTACAACCCCTGCCCTCAAGGCCTTGTGTCAGTCTGGGGTTTTGCAGTCACCTATATCGTCAAAGAGGATAATCTATGTTCTTCCACTCAGCAAGAGGGGAGAGACCCATACAAATAGCAGAAGAAACTGACTAATGTCTTAATCCTGCAATAAGAGCCTCAAGAGCAGACCCCAGCACCTGCATGTGGCTCCACCTGAAGCCAATGATGCTCCATGCAGACCAAGAGGCACCTGTGTGAACTTGTTTGTGGGATCGGGAGTCTAACTGACTAGATGAGGGAAATTGACTATCCATAGAATGCTGTCAAACTAACAAAATAAACACACTGGAAAAAATAGAGAAAAAATATGTCTCTAATCTTTTCAAGTTATCATCTTAGGCATTACTTGTAATAATGGGAGATAAAACATTTGCACACTGAGGCATGACTTTTAAGTTGAGGGTTTACTCTTAACCATTAAGCAGGTCTAAGTGCATAGGCTGAAAAGAAGAAAAAATGGAAGCTGACAGTAGGGGTGTAGCGTGCACCCATTTCAAAGTTCTCTAGATGTATCTTGAGCTATACACTACCCTTGATCCATGCCCAGAAAATTCTGATAATGATACAGTGGAAGCTGTGCATGCAGGTGGCTCTGTCATTAATTATCCTTAATCAGGGTTCCCACTTAGACCCAAATGTTTACCTATTTGCAGTTCTTCTGTCTATTTCCTGTCTTTTAAAACAATAATACACATTGCAATTTATATATGAATGATTCAAATTCAGGTGTTTTCTGAAGACAGAAAAAGACTGAGACATTTTCTTAACTTGATAAGCTAATTAGGTGCAACTTATCTTAACACAGCCACTATCTGAGGAACAAGTAAAGCCAGCCTCCTCCAATGGTGATGCAGAAAAGTAATCATAGGGATGAAAATGTGAGGGAAAACAAGCACTTAAGGTGGACAGCAGTTACCTTCCATGTGACCTGGAAATAGGCTGCTTACATTTTATCTTACTTAGGGCTCGATCCTTCTCCCATTGAACAACAAACAGCAAAACTCCTACGGACTTCAAAGGCAACAGGCTGTCCCTGCTCTGTTGGCACCATGACTACAATTTGTCAGTCAGACATCCATCGGGTGGTTCACAAAAAGCCAAGGATGTCAAACAGGAGTTCAGAACAGTGTTTTGTAAAAGATCTTCAAGAATAAAAAAAAAAAAAAAAGCAGCAGTTAAAAAACCTGTATCCATTAAGGGAGACAAGATTTGACTTGTCTACAGAGTACGTTAGTCCACATTAGAGGGGTGTAAATTCTAATGCACATACGAGCATGTCATACATTAACTGGCCCATGTGGACCCTGCTGGGCATATGCTAAAAAAATCCCCTACTGTGTGTTAATGTCTCATATGAAGGAGAGAGGCAATTCTTGATTTAGTCCTGACTGGAGTGCAGTATCTGGTCCAAGAGGTAACTATAACAGGACCGCTTGAAAATAGTGACCACAATATAACAACATTTAACATTCCTGTGGTGGGAAGAAAACCTCAGCAGCCCAACACTGTGGCATTTAATTTCAGAAAGGGGAACTATGCAAAAATGAGGAGGTTAGTGAAACAGAAATTAAAAGGTACAGTGACTAGAGTGAAATCCCTGCAAGCTGCATGGACACTTTTCAAAGACCCCATAATAGAGGTCCAACTTAAATGTGTACCCAAATTAAAAAACACAGTAAAAGAACTAAAAAAGAGCCACCGTGGCTTAACAACCGTGTCAAAGAAGCAGTGAGAGATAAAAAGACATCTTTTAAAAAGTGGAAGTCAAATACTAGTGAGGTAAATAGAAAGGAGCATAAACACTGCCAAATTAAGTGTAAAAATGTAATAAGAAAAGCCAAAAAGGAGTTGAAGAACAGCTAGCCAAAACTCAAAAGGTGGTAATAAAATGTTTTTTAAGTACATCAGAAGCAGGAAGCCTGCTAAACAACCAGTGAGGCCACTGGACGATTGAGATACAAAAGGAGCACTTAAAGATGATAAAGTCATTATGGAGAAACTAAATGAATTCTTTGCTTCAGTCTTCATGGCTAAGGATGTTAGGGAGATTCCCAAACCTGAGCTGTCCTTTGTGGGTGACAAATCTGAGGAATTGTCACAGATTGAAGTGTCATTAGAGGAGGTTTTGGAATTAATTGGTAAACTTAACAGTAACAAGTCACCGGGACCAGATGGCATTCACCCAAGAGTTCTGAAAGAACTCAAATGTGAAATTGTGGAACTATTAACTATGGTTTGTAACCTGTCCTTTAAATCAGCTTCTGTACCCACTGACTGGAAGATAGCTAATGTAACGCCAATATTTAAAAAGGGCTCTAGAGGTGATCCTGGCAATTACAGACTGGTAAGTCTAACGTCAGTACCGAGCAAATTAGTTGAAACAATAGTAAAGAATAAAATTGTAAGACATATAGAAGAACATAAATTGTCGGGAAAAAGTCAACATGGTTTCTGTAAAGGGAGATCATGTCTTACTAATCTATTAGAGTTCTTTGAGGAGGGTCAACAAACGTGGACAAGGGGGATCCAGTGGACATAGTGTACTTAGATTTCCAGAAAGCCTTTGACAAGTTCCCTCACCAAAGGCTCTTACATAAATTAAGTTGTCATGGGATAAGAGGGAAGATCATTCCGTTGGATTGAGAACTGGTTAAAAGACAGGGAACAAAGGGTAGGAATAAATGGTAAATTTTCAGAATGGAGAGGAGTAACTAGTGGTGTTCCCCAAGGGTCAGTCCTAGGACCAGTCCTGTTCAACTTATTCATAAAAGATCTGGAGAAAGGGGTAAACAGTGAGGTAGCAACACTTGCAGACGATACTAAA